CTGGGTGTCTTTGAGCCAGTCAGACTTTCAGCCCAGCCTACCTCACAGGGCTGTTGTTGTGGGGATAAGATGGAGAGCAGGAGGGGGAGTGTGAATTCCTTGGAAGGAAAAAGGCTGGGATATAAATTCACACAATGAAACAATACATTATAAATACATTGAATGTGGGGGGATCAGGTAGGTTTCATGTTAGATACCCCTTTGTCAATGCTGTGGGAGCTGTATTGTAGGCCCCTGAGTCAGAACAAAAAGTGAAATGTTTACCAACTCATGGTTTGTTAACTGTGTGTTGTTTCATTGTGAGAACTGGGCCACTCATTGACCTTGTTCACATGACACAACAGCCTACCATGGCTTAGTTCATCCGCAGGAGCTGTTTTATTATGTCCAGTGCCCACAGGCACCATTCTTGCAGGTACTCAACTTGCCATGTTGTGTGAACCCACATGCCAGGGGTTGTTTGAGCGTTAAACAATCCTGAAATAGCCCATGGCTTGTTTAGGCTGTTTTGAGGGGTTTCTGGCCCTCAAATAACCTCTGCTGTCTCAGTTCACACAAATGACAAGCCACAGCAAGCCAGCAACTGCGAGTCCCCATGTGAACGCGGGTGTCCATAGGTACTCGGCACTACGCAACAACCCTGATGGGTAAATTAAGCCACCATGTGTTGTTGTGATGCTTGAATAGGCCCCTCTCAGCTTCATCTGATTGGTGGACCTCTCTGCCTGGGAATAAAAAGTGAAGGAGAAAAAAGCCACACTTGAGCAACCCCCCCGCAGCAGTGCTGGACTACACTACATTCCCATTATCCCCAGTCATCATGGGCTGTTGGACTGCAATCCCCATCAACCCAGCTACCATGCTATATTAGTCTCTCATCATCTCCTTATATCCCAGACACCTCCCAGAGATGCTGGACTCCATTCCTCATCATCCCAGCATGCAGGACTACATTCCCCATCATCCCCATTCCAGACTTCCTCCACTCCAGAACCTGGCACCTGCCATACATATTGGACTCCACCCCCCATAATTCCCAGCCGACATGCTGGACTCTGACAGAATCTCGGTTTTCAATTTGTGAGGAGGAAATAAAAACTCAGGTTTGTGGGAAAGATCAAACATTCGAACCTCCGCTGCTTGATTGATATAAGCCCAGGGTCTCTGCAAGTTCTACTCACAATAATAAATTACTGGGCAGAGGCAAACAACTGCCAGGGTTCAATACAAGTACAGAGCCATTTCATACTCTCCCGGTCAGGGTCACGGTCACTTACACAGGTTACAGAGCAATTGATGACAGAATACAGACATTACAATGAAATTCTGAGGTCATCAGATACAGAACAGATAAGGAAGATCAGCCAAACATACAAGTGACAATATTTCTAATTGCAGCATATTGACATTTTAGTTGAATAAATTCCAGAAACTTGAACCCATCTCCAGGTCTGCTTAGACATGTAAATTCCGGCTATTGAGAAACCATTCATGAACTCCTAAATTCATCTGTTACATTATCAGGAAGACTCAAACCCCGAGTAATGGATCTGCACCTTACTGATTGGCCAGGGCACATGGAGGGCTCTGGCCTAGCAAAATAGATACTTCCTGGTAAACTGTGAATTCCTGGTAAACTGTGAATTCCTGGAGGGACTATGCAGCAACTTCGACTGAACAGCCTGTCTGCTCTGGTTTACAGATACAGGGAGAAGAGCCATTTTCTTAAGACAACAGCAATATTAAACAGTGACTTGGCTTGGAAAGCTGGTGCTTTTGAGAAAGAGGGTGGGTTTGGTTTTATAACACAGGCACATATAAGCAAAGTTTTTCTGCCAGGATTTATCCACATTTTCCCAACAACTCCATTCCCCATCATCCCAGCACAGCATGCAAGTCTACCCCCCCCCCCTTCGTCTCCTTATAGCTGAACCTTTCCTGCCCCGTGCCCAGAACCAGGCCCCGTCCAGAAGTGCTAGACTCCATCCCGCATCACTCCCAGCCGACATGCTGGACTCCCAAACCCCACCCTCCCCAGCCAGCATGGAGAAAAGTGCCTGATGGTGCTGGGGAGCGCTGCACTATCAAGCCAGGAGGGGACCCTCCTGGGGCAGCGCAAGGCTGGGCGCGTCGGACCTAGCATCCTGTTCCCGCGCCGCGGGGAGCAGCCCAGCTCTGCCCCGTGCCCGGGCTGCCTCGTCAGGCCAGCCCGCGGCTCGTCGCGCCGGCGGGCCAGCCGCGGGGTCGGGCCGGCAGCAGCCGTGCCCGGCCGCCCTCCCCGCCCCGGGTCTGCGCCTGCAGCAGAGGACCGGCCTTCCGCCGCCGCTCCCGCCGCCCCCATGCGAAGGGGCGGAGGAAGACTTTCGACCCAGATCTTCCTCTTCCTCGCCCTGCCCGGCAACTGCTGACGAGTCGGGAGGGCGCGTGCCCCCCATTGGTCGGTGCGTCCCTCCCGCTCCGCATTCCTGGGCTGGGGGGGGGTCCCACCACGCTGCGGAAAGGAGGGGGGGGAGAAACAGCGCCCAGGGCGGGGGAGCGAGAGCAGGACGAGCGCGCCCCGACACTCGGGGCTCCGGATCCGCTCCGGATCGGCGCCAACGCCGCTGCCCCACTTGCTCTGGGGGGCGGGGGCCTCCTGCCCGGCTCTGGTGAGTATTCGGGGAAGGGGCGCCGCGCTTCCCCTATTTGCACGGAACTCAAGGCGAGGAGAACCACCTCTGGCCCTCCGACTAGGCTTGTTCCGCTGTTTCCATCATCCCCTACCGCTGATAGGAGCTGGAGTCCGAGGAGATCTTCAGGCCACAGGGCTTGTTGTCCCCAGCACCACACACACGCCCCACCGCCGGATTTAACTCAGGCGGCTGGGATGTGGCTCTACGATCCAAAAGAAGGGGTGCGGTTGCAGGTGGGGAGGGGGGCGCCTGCATAGGGGGAAATCTCTTTGCAGTGGGGCTGTTAATTTCTGCGTAACTGGTCGAGCTTATTTTATTGGCTGGGTATTATAAAGGAGGGGGACAGATTCGTCCATTAGGGTACAATCCTGTGCCTGTTTAGACCACAAAAAAGTTGCAGGACTTTTTTTTGCTGCTTGAGGAGGTAATGATTGTGCCCTAAATTAGGGAGAACCCATGGGCTGAATTTCCCAGGAAAGCAAGAGCTGTCGCCAGGTGCTCCACCGCGGACCCTCTTCATCTCAGGCACAATCGGGGCTATTTCAGTTCGCTTAAAATGCAAAACTCTCCATGCTCAGGTTAATATAATTGCTATCATCCGCATTAGAGTTGGGAAAGAGGATAAGCTGAAGCTCACTGGAGGCCTTCGAGCCAGTCCCTGACTTTCAGTCTACCTCACAGGGCTGTTGTGAGGGTAAAATGAGGAGGGTTCAGGCATGCCTTTAATTCCTAGCAGGAAAAAAAAGGATAGAAATATAAATCAAAAAAATAAATAAGGTGTGGAAGGGCAGTCTATGTTGCCATACGCTGGGGTCTTCAGCACAGGTCATGAAGCTATTTGCCCCTTGTCCTGTTCCAAAAGATTTTTTAAAAAATCTTGGGAATTCCTACAGTCATCTTCTTTGCCCTGACCCCCATTTAGCCTTCTACCCCCACCCCAGAACCACCTTTTTAGCGCACAATTTCTCCCCCTCCCAGGCTATGGTCTCGCTATTTCTCTCCTGTTTGGCACCTGTTTGGGTCATTTTTGTCTAGCCAGTCCTCAACCCAAGCGACCACTTTTGAAAAGCCACATTGCGTAGCTATTTTGTGGTGGTCCTCAAAGAGGTTTCTCAAATTCCCACATGTGTGCACATGCCCAAAGAGGATGGGGACCGCTGGCCCGAAAGGCCTTCCAGAAGACATGAAGCCCAGGGTCTGAAATCATCTAGTCACACCACTGCCTAGAAGTTTTTCTTAAGTTAGGCCTAGGTCACCTGGTACCCCGTAGAACAGGGGTGTCCGACCCACGGGCCGCATGCAGCCCAGAAGGGCTATGAATGTGGCACAACACAAAATCGTAAACTTACTTGAAACATTATGAGATTTTTGGCGATTTTTTTTGTAACTCGATTGCACAGTTCTCCAGTGTGTACTTTGTACACGACAACGTGGTGTCGCATTGTCACTTAAAATAAATGTACGTATGCTCTCACTATTTGTACACATGCGTGGCTTCAGTGTTACAGCGGTGTGTGTTATCTTCCAAGTGCTAACAGTCGAATTGACACCATCAGACATTACACGTGCTCATGGTGACTTGGCAAGAGAAACACAGCTATTATCAATCGTATTTCAACCTGCCATTGTAAACACTTTTATACATTTCAACACGTTGGCTAAACACAGTCCTGTGAGCAGCGAAAAAATATGCAGCCTTTCTTTTCGATTTGATACAAGAATTTGAAAACAGATATCAAGATTTCTGGGAAAATAAGCACTATTTTGGTATATTTGTGACTCCATTTTCAGTCGACATAAATATGTTACCTTCCAATTTTCAAATGGAATGCACAGAGATGCAATCTGACATTCAGCTTAAAGAAAAAATTGATCATGGACTTGTATAGGTCCTATCATCCCAGAGACAAATAAGCCTTGCTTCACAATCGTGCCTTATTCATGTCTTCACTTTTTGGAAGCACCTACATTTGTGAGCAACTATTTTCAAGAATGAAGCACACTAAGAGTAAAATTAGAACCAGAATATCTGATGAGCACCTTGAGAATTGCAACTACTTCCATTGAACCAGATATTGAAACATTAGATTCTCAAATACAATGTCAATTATCCCACTAGTGTTATGTTGCCCTCTCTTCTTTTTATAGTAAAAAAAAAAAACAACTTTTATTACTTAGATAGTTTAGTTTTCGATATTAGTAATTGCAAACTTGGAACCTGCTTGACTATTTTAAAAGACTCTGAATGGGATGCTGCATAATTAGGATTATTACGTGAGGACTTTTTTGCTAATCTGTTGTGGCAGATATATGAAAATTATGCACAGCCCTTTGCTTTTGATCATCATCTTTTGTTAGTGTTTGTGTATTTAATGTGCGGCCCAAGATAATTTTTCTTCTTCTAGTGTGGCCTGGAGAAGCCAAAATGTTGGACACCCTGCTGTGGAGGTTTTGAACTACAACTTTCATACACTCCAGTCAGCACAGAGAATGGTCAGAGATTATAAGTGTTATTATCCTAAACATCTGGAGTATAGCACATTGCCTTCCCTTGCCTTATTCTTAATTTATCCCTCCCTCTGTGTTTCACCTTTTCAGGGCTATTTTCTGCTTTTTCCCACTCTTTATTTTGGAAACCCCTTTGAGGTTGCTTCTGCCTTCACTGTCCATTCCCATCTCAACCATTTCTCTTTCCGGGTGTTTTCCTGTTCTTCCCAAAGAACTATCTGTGCTTCCCCTGCCCCCTAAAAATTCCCCATTTTCGTTCTGCCTCACATGGGGTCAGTCCATACAAGCTATACGGGAAGAGACCGACTGCCATCAATGGGACTGTAATTCATCATAATGAGGGTTATTCTAAGCCTGACTAGGAACAAAACATGAGGCATAAGCAGAAAGCCACTGTGAGCAACCACATCTTGGGGTACTCAAAGCCTGGCATATTTTGGCTCCAATTTTCTTTGTGGCCAGCAAATTACTCCCCACTTATTGACCAGGGTCACAGAACTGGGAAAGGAAAATAATTGCTCGTAGCTCAGTTTTGTACCACACACTTATTAGGGGCATACCACTGAATTTCCAGGATTTCCATCCACCAGGTATCCTTTGCCAGGTTGTCCAAACCAGAAGAGTGTGACAGGTGTGTGGATGGGTTTAAAACCCAACCTGGAACCCAGGGCTTGTGTGCTCCTATCCTGCACCCTCACCAGGTTAGGACAACATGACAAATCCTTAAGACCAATAAAAGACATGTATGAAATATTAAAAATTAAATATGTATGAGAAACATGTTAAAGCATCTTCTGGGGGTCTCTAAACAATATTTTAAAGAATCGTCCGAAGGTCTCAAAGAAAATCCGGGCCAAAATGCATCACGCTGTCTCAATCCTGGATTGTGTGTGAACTTTGTGCTTTTATCTAATTTTATTTATTTATTTATTAAAACATTTTTATGCTGCCCCATTCGCCAAAGGCTCGGGGCGGCTTACAACAATTCTGACTTAAGTCTAGATCCAACACATCAGGTGCTCCCCCGTTGCAATTTGAATGAAGAAGAAAAATAAATTGGGCCTTAACCAGGCTAGTGAGCCAATCTTAGACATTTCTACTCTGAAGAAATATCTGTTGGATTTGATGGGACTTACTTCTAGGTGGAGGTGATGGAGCCTGCCAGATAAGCGGATGGGAGAAACATGGTGTCATGAGGGGAGAACATGGCATAGGGGGCAGGCAGCCATCCCTTTGTTTTTACAAACTTGTTTTTGTTTATTATTGTGCCTTTGGCATTTAAGCCTGCTTGAAAGCATCCTGGATCTGTCCAGTGATGTGAAACGTAACTTCCATCATTGCTACCCGTCGGGGTCATGGGTTAGGAATTGTAGAACTTGCAATCCAGCTTATCTGGTGGGCGCCGGGCTGGGGAAGGTTGCTTTGAAAGTGGTTGATTTTTGTCTGCACGTAGTTAGTTTTGGAGTTCCTCTTCAAGGAAACGGGCAGGATATAAGTCTTTAAAATAAAATAAAAGCACGGACTGAGAGGCTGGCCAGCCAAGGCTGCTTAGAACTTCACATTGGAAGAGGAGACAGCACAGCCTTAAGTGAGAGTTTAATGTGTAAAGGCAAACCAGTCCAGGATCTTTTAATTCTCTTTTGCAGGGACAAAGAGTTAAGAAAGGCCCATCTGCCACACTGTTGGGTGAAATGCAATTTTCAGGTTTCAGAAGAGAAAATTTGGCACAGGATACACCGTCGCCATACGCCTCCCCACTCCGGCCTAAGATAGAGGAGGAGATGCGGCTGTTCCACTGGGGTGCACAACCTCAGACACAAAGAGTTGGGCTCCCCATCTGGCCCCCTGAGTCCCTCTTTTTCCCCAACCACCAGCTGCTTGGTGGCTTTCTTGTGCTCCATCAGCCCTTTCTAAATTGTTGAACTGTCTCTCCTAAGGCTTAGTTACTGGTAACTGGAGTTTTAAGCTTGAAAATGGTGGAATTTTGGCCTTGCTCTTAGCTGGAATGTGACCTTGTGATGATAAGGGTAATGGTGGAAATGGTTACATTGGCAGCAGGACTTGAACTCGGGGCTCTCAAGTCCCAGTCCAACATGTTAATCTTTATGTCGTGCCGGCATCTCATCTTCCATATGATAACTGAATTCCTGTATCCTGTGTATGCAGACAAAAACATGATTATGTTGTGTGTCTTAACAAGTAGAATTCAGTACCAGGTTTAGAAAAATAAACAATGACCATACATGTGGAGAAATGTGAAAGTTGTTTACATACGGTCTACATAACAATGCATAAGAAAGCCAGGACGAAAGAGGGATTTCTGGTCAGGCATCTGCTAATATCATCAGCTTTGTAAAACTTCATCAGAAGTTGCCAGTAATTCCAATACAAATTCTTTATATCATTAAAAAACTGTAAACGTGTATTATGTTATTACCTACGTATATGGTTTGGATATATATGTAATAGTTGTGTTCCTTATAGCATTTTTGGTGGCGACTGGACTGTAATTCCCACCATCCTCAAATTGGTAGTGCTGGCAGGGGATACTGGGCATTGTAGTCCAAAATGGGGGAGACAGTTGAGGAAGACAGCTGCATAATCGTCTTCATCCTCCCCTTTCATGTAAATCAGGGCATGCAGAAACCGGTTTCAGACTGGTTTATATTTGTATTGTCGATTGCAGGAGAGGGAAAAGAGAGAATTTGGACCAAGCAGCATTTGTGGGAAGGGGAAGAAAGGTGGGAGAGAAAACAGGAGGAAAGGTTTTTGAGAGGACCAGTGCGGAGGATGCTGTGGGTTCGGACCGTGCCCTTCGGCTCCACACAGTGCAGGAACACACCCCCTTCCCCGCCAAACCTCTCCGAACTGGAATTTAGCCCTCGGGCTGAAAGACACCTATAACCCTCCCTCAGCCCCAAACCTGCATCCGGCTGCGCTGACTGCGGCAGGCCTCATGGGCCTCTTCCAGCCAGAGGGTTGAATTCCATTTCTGAGATGCTTGGGCGGGGAGGGGGTGCATTCCAGGGGTGGGTGGGACGGAGAGGGTGGACCACAAAGCCCCAAATGCCAGCATACTTCAGTTTAAAGCTCTTGGCGAGTAGAGCTGCTTTCGGAGAAGCGTTGCTGTATTTTACAAAGTTGGCAGAGTGTGTTGCGGGAAGACAGTGCAGATCTGGGGAACTGCCAAGGGACCGATGGCCGTGGGGCCGGAGGGAAAGTCGGGGGATCCCGGGGGGTTAGATTGACTTGCGACAAGAAAGGCCAGATTAGGTCCTCTGTTTTCTGGTTCCGCACCCCTGGGGTGACAGGAAGCAGGCGGTCTTTCAGCATCCCCCTACTTGGAGCCCTCCAGATTTGTTGGACAACAACTCCTATCTGCCACAGCCAGCCTGGGATTGTGGCAATTGTAGTGCAAAACAGCTGGACATCACCAGACTGGGGAAAACTAAGGTAGTTTCTTTTTGGCGTACGCTTGCTTTTCCTACCTAGAGAAGCCCCAGTGGCTGATGGGAATCATCCACTTGGGCTTGCAAAATATTTCGCAGCCTGTGGGGCCCCGCACAGTGTTCCCGTGTGTGACAAGTTGTTGTCTTTGCAGGCTGGAAAGGAACTGGCAGGACGGCAGAGAAAACCTTCCGTTTTGACTGTTCCCACCTTGGATTACGGAGCAAGGATGGACGGGCAAAGTTCAGCTGACCAAGAAGAAGGAACAGCCCCTGTGGCCAAGGATGCTGGGAACAGTGGGGAATTCTGGGAAAGCACAGTGCGGAAGATCCTTGGTGGGGAGCCGGGCAGCTCGGACGAATGGCGCCAGCGTTTCCGGCAGTTCCACTATCAGGAGGCCGAGGGGCCCCGCGAGGTCTGCAGCCGCCTCCACGAACTCTGCCTCCAGTGGCTGAAGCCGGAGCGACGCACCAAGACCCAGATGCTGGACCTGGTGATTCTGGAACAGTTCCTGGCTGTCCTTCCCCTGGAGATAGAAAGCTGGGTCAGAGAGTGTAGGCCCGAGACGAGTTCTGAGGCAGTGGCCCTGGCTGAAGGTTTCCTCCTGATGCAAGCAGAGGAAAAGGAGCAGGTGAGAGAATTTCTTCCTGGTTATTTATTAATTTATTGAAAGCTTTTCTATCCTGTCCTGTGCAAACATCTCGGGACGTTATTTGAGTGGGTCGAGTGTGCATGGCACAAATCCCCCATCTGCTTTTTCTGGACAGCACCCAGAGACGGGTGTCCCAACGCCCAAAAGAGCAATGTTTAAAATCGGTGAAGCAGGATTTTTTTAGCAGATCCCAATGCACTTAAATCCCAGGGCGCTTAAGGCACCATCCTCTGCAAGTTTAGAATTTACTGTTCTGTTACATATCAGAACGTCCCTTGGTGTTTGTTTTAGGAGCAGATCTTTTGGGATTAAAATGTTCTGTTTCCATCCTCTTCTAATCCCAGGGCTGAGCAAAGCGGCCCAGTCCAGGCTTGGGCAGGTGGCACTGACGGCCATCGGTGTGCCCTCACACCCATTTCTTGGCTCCTACCAAATTTCTCTAATTTTCCTACCACTTCTTTATTTTTCTTTAAGCAACACTTCCTAAACGGCTTGGGTCCTGGTTACCTGAAGGAGCGCTTACATCCATATACGCCCGCCCGCCCCTTGAGATCGGCAGCAGAGGCCCTTCTCCGGGAACCCTCCGTGAAAGAAATCAGGAGGGTAGGTACCCGGAGGAGGGCCTTCTCTGCGGTGGCGCCCAATCTATGGAATGCGCTCCCCAGAGAGGTCCGCCTGGCACCGTCGTTATTTGTTTTTCGGCGCCAGGCGAAGAACTTTTTATTTAAGCGTCATTTTAATTGTTAACAGTATTTGCTTATTTTATCTGGCCAGGGCGACTTCTTTTATATTGTTATTTCTTGTATTTTAATTTTATGTTGTGAGCCGCCCCGAGGCTTTGGCGAATGGGGCGGCATAGAAATGTTTTAATTAATTAATATATGTGTGTGTGTGTATCTCTGTGTGTGTGTGTGTGTGTGTGTGTGTGGCTGGGATTGCTTCAAGGCAAATGCTAGCCTTCTCCTTTTGCTTTCCTGCAAGTGCCTCTAGGAAATTGGGGATGGGAGCTGCGGGCCAGCCCTTTCATCTGCAGCTCGCCCATTTTGTTGTCCTGCTCCAGACAGTTTCTCAAATTCTCACCGGCCCGGAAGGATTGCATGCAGCTGCCATAAGCCTTGATGCTCCAGTGTCATGGAATCAGGGCCCACAGGGACAACGTTCCAGATGTTTATTTTAACAAGTGAGCGGCTGCTGCTTCCCGCAGAATTTCCTGTTTTCTCTGACTTTCTCAGTCATTCAGGGGAGGGTGCCTTGCTCCGTAAAATGGATTGCATTGATGCACACAACTTGGAAAGCCAAAGTACAGACTTGTTTGTTTGTTTGTTGTGTATAGAGGCTTTTATATACCATCCTCTATAGCCAGTTTGACTCTCAGAACAGATTACAAGAGTAAAAATAAGGTTAGATTTAAAAAACTATAAGACAATAAAATAGCAAAATAACCTTCATATATTATAATAGCAGTATGTTTCAGCAGTCCCACAGCTGAGCCAACCAACAAGAACAAAACTAAATAATGAACAAAAGTAAAATAAGCATCAACAACTCAAAGAAAAGGCTTAAACAAACGGCAACCCAGCAAGTACATGAAACAAGTATAATATTTTCTTAAAATACATCATTTAACAACTGACATACTGGGAGAACAGAAAGGGTTTTGCCTGGTGCCAGAAGATGTATAATGTTGGTGCCAGGCATATATCTTTGGGGAGTGAGTTCCATAAACGGGGCGCCACAACGGAGGCCCTTCTCTGAGTAACCGTATTCCTAACATCTTAGGTTGAGTGCAGAATGTTGTCAAACTGCGTTGTAGTGTTTTGTGGACACAACTGCACTAATACACTGTGGTTTGTTAACCTCAGACCACCCACAGTTCTTAACCCAACGGCAGCTTTATTTTTAGCAGAAGGAGAATAGCTTGGTAGGCCCTTGGTTGGCTGGCATGCAGGAAGTCCTACTTTCAAGGATGGAGCTGTGGATTTGTGGTCTTGTGGGTGATTGAACGAGATGGACCCATGGCCTGACTTGGTATAAAGAAAGCCTGACTTAGGCTCCTATTTAATGCAGCCTTTTTTTTCAGAACCATGAGGACTAGTATCTTACAGAGTGGAAATTGTATTAAAGTATTGGGTGACCTGGTTATTATGTTCAAGGATGGAGCTGTGGGTCTGTGGAAGAGCTCCTGCTTCATAAGCAAAAGGTCCCAGGTTTGATTCCCAAGTAGGGCTAGAACAATCCTGCCTGAAAACCGGGAGAGTTGCAAGTGGTCCTTGTTGACTGTATAGGGCAAGATGGCCTGACTCTGTACAAGGCAGTTTCCTGTGTTCCGACATAATTCAGCCCTTTATATGGAGTCATGAGGACTGGAAACTTTATTTTTTGGTAAAGGGCCTGGGCTCAATAGATGAGTCCCCCACTTAGTTGACATCTCCAGGAAAGGCTAGGAAATCCTACCTGTTCTGCCAGTCAGTGTCAGCAATAGAGGGCTATCTGGACCCAGGGCCGGGCTCAACATTAGGCCATTTTCAATTTTCGGTGTTCTGATGCTCCTTTTCCAGGTAAAGAAGAAATCACCCAAACCAGGCACAGTTGTTTCCCAGGCCCTTGAGAGCGCGCCTTCAGACACCCCGCAGAGGTCGGTCTTCCGGTGGATTGTGCAGGAAGGCGCTGGAGGAGCTGCCCTGCTGGGTAAGGATTTATGGGGCACATTTAAACATGGCCCTCCCTTCTTTTGACTCCAAAGCCCATGCACTGGTCCTGTGTTCCCCATGAGCCAGGGTGGAGGGAAGATATCTGTGGGTCAGAGCCAAAGGTGTGCCTTCCCGCCCCTTAGGATCTGGGGCAGAGGCCCTTCCCCAGGACCCCTCCCTGAAGGAGATTAGGAGGGTGAATACCCAGAGAAGGGCCTTCTCTGCAGTGGCGCCCCAACTATGGAATACAAATATGCTCCCCAGAGAGGTTTGCCTGTGCCAACGCTTTATTTTTTTCGGTGCCAGGTGAACCCTTTTTTATTTTCCCATTATTTTAATTGGTTTTAAGATGGATTTTATTTACTGGAATTGGATGCTGTGCTTTATTTTATTTTCTCTTGCTTTGATTGTTAAACCATCCCAAGACACTTGTAGAGGACGGTATATAAAAGCTTCTAATAAATAAATAAAAGTAGGCGCAAGCGACTGGACTGGTGGAAGCGGACTGGCCTTCTCCCTAGGGGGGCCCTTTGAAAATGTGACCCCCAGGTTTGAGGGGGGCTGCTATGAGGGGCTGAGCTGTGCTTTAAAGGTTGGGGGGTACCTTCCCTGGGAGAGAAAGAGGCACCGCCCTTGAGTGGAGCCCCCTGGACGATCTGCAGAAGAGAGATCACAGAGTCCCAGGATGGTAGAGTTGGAAGGGTCCTGTGCTGAGCCTTTTTCCTGACATCTAGCCTGAATCTGGCTTCCTGTAACTTCAGCCTGATATCCCGTGTCCTGCACTCTGGGAAGATCGAGAAGGGATCCTGCCCTCCCCCAGATGACAGAGTCTCGAATATTTAAAAAATGCTATCCTATCTACCCCCAGTCATCTCTCCTTGAGGCTAAACATGCCCAGTTCTTTTGATCTCTCCTCACAGGGCATTGCTTCCGGTCCCCCGATCACCCCCGTTGCCCTCCTCTGAACCCCTTCCAGCTTGTCTGCATGTTTCTTAAACGGCGGTGCCAGCACTGGGCACAGGACTCCAGAGGAGGCCTACCAGTGCCGAGTGCAGGGCAGCTAAGACTGCACAGGATTTGGAAGTGGGCCTTCTAATCAATGCAGCGTAAAATCGCATTTTGCAGCCAGATCCTGGATTTGGGTAATATTCCGCTCACCTCCGTTTCCCTCCTTCAGTTTTGTTGCCTCTGTCCAGGGCTTACCACTTGAGAGCAGGAGTGGCTGGGCTTTACGGTGCATTTGGGAAGAGGAGGGGGAAATTACTGAAAATCCGGTGCATGAGCAGAGTCCTCCTGTCCCCAGAAGCCCTAGTCCTCAGTCCTAAGTAGCCATCTCTCCTATTAAGAGCATTTATTTATTTATTTCTGTGCTGTCCATTACTAAAAAAAAGTCTCTGGAGGGCTTACAAGGAAGGAAACCAAGAACAAACCCATAACAATGACACACAGCACGCTGCATCTAAAATAGTAATAAAAACAGGACAAGACCAATTAATTGTTAAAATACCAGGAGAATAAAAAGGTCTTTGCCTGATGCCAAAAAAAAAAAAAAAAATAGAGCGACAGCGCCAGGCAAAGCTCCCTGGGGAGCATATTCCATAGTCGAGGAGCCACCACTGAAAAGGCCCTTCTCCGAGTAACTATCTTCCTGGTTTCCTTCAAAGAGGGCTCCCGGAAGAGGGCCTCTGCCTCTGGTCTCAGGGGTTGGGCCGGCACATAGGGAAGAAGGCGCTCCTTCAGGCATCCAGGACCCAAGCCATTTAGGGCCTTATAGGTTATTACTAACACCTTAAATTGGGCCAGGACATCAATTGGCAGCCAGTGTAAGTGATATGGGACCAGCGTGATATGAGAGTATCTGCCGGTCCCTGTTAATAACTTGGCAGCTCTATTCTGGACCAGTTGAAGTATCCGGACTGTCTTCAAGGGTAGCCCCACGTAGAGCACATTGCAATTAATACTATGATGAGATTCAGAGAACACAACAACCCACATTTCAAACCATAATCAAGCCTTGAGTGTGGGTTGTTGTTGAAGCATGGACTGTTGTTATGTCTGAACCTAGCTGGGCTAACAAGCCACATTTTGACCACAAACAACCCATGTTGAGTACCCATGCTTAGCTGCTGGATTGTGAATGATGGGACCATGATTCAATGACAACCCACACAGCACTTCCATACGGGTTTTCGTCTTGTCTGAACCCAGCCTATGACTTAAAGATGATGCAGAACAACCTGGGAATCGCTCGAGGATCTGTAAGTGCAAAGTTCCAATGAAATATAAGAGACCTTCTACCTTCTTTGCCTTCCTTACAGGATGTGGAGCAACACTTGGAGATAATGGGAAGATACTGGAGGTTCCTTCAAGGCCAACTTTTCTTTCAGATGATGTGGAAACGGCTTCTCAGCATCTGGAACAGGTACAGGAGCAATCATTGTGGGGGAAGGCAAGGGGAAGGCTGCTGCCTGTTTGTGTGTGCGTGTGCGTGTGCGTGTATATTACTCCCTGAGGTGAAAGACAAGATGGTGCTCCTTGTTATTCCCACTAAGGGAAGTGCATGTGTCCAAGGGCCTTGTTCTAAGACACCCAGACTTTTATTTTATATTGTTATTTTTAGTATTTTAACTTAATGTTTGCATTTTACAAACATTTTAATTTAATGTTATAACTTAATGTTTGTATTTTAACTTAATGTTGTAAGCCGCCCCGAGGCTTCGGCGAATGGGGCGGCATAAAAATGTTTTAATAAATAAATAAAATAAATATTTATTTATTACAGCTTAGTGCATCCTGCCCATTCCCTTACGCTCTGGGTGGTTTTCAACAACTTAGGACTAACAGCCATTCAGATTCAAATTAAGAGCAATCTATTAAATAACTAATCTGGGAAGGCTTGCCAGAAGAGATGCATCTTTCATTCTCTCTTGAAGGAAAAGAATCTGAGATACCTGATGCACCTCTTCTGGTCGGTCATTATTATTATTATTATTATTATTATTATTATTACTACTACTACTACTACTACTACTACTACTACTACTACTACTACATTTCTATGCCGCCCCTTGCCGAAACCTCAGGGCGGCTTACAACACGATAAAATACAATGAAATACAATAGCACATAATAAATTACCATTAAATATAAAAATACAAAAAATACGTTGATTTACAAAAATAAAATTAAAATTATCAGTATAAAATAAAAATATAGGAGGAGAAAGAGAAGGAAGAAGAAGTTGCCCTGGCCAGATCATATGTTTTAACAATTGAAATGATGTTTAAATAGAAAGGTCTTTACCTGGCGCCGAAAAACCAGTAACAACGGTGCCAGGCGGACCTCTTTGGGGAGTGAATTTCATAGGTTGGGCGCCACCGCAGAGAAAGCCCTCCTCCAGGTACTTACTCTCCTAATTTCTTTCATGGAGGGTTCCCGGAGAAGGGACTCTCCCGCAGATCTCAAAGGGCGGTCGGGCATATACGGACGTCATTCCACAGTTTAGGGGCCACCACTGAGAAAGTCCTGTGGATAGTTGACATTAATCATTTTTTTTAATAGAAATGTCATTAGGATTTTAAAATTAAAACTACCAACAACAATCATCGCACACCCCGGATTTACTGGATCAGCCCCCTACGACATAAATTTTAACATTCTATGATCATACGAGAATCCATTTATAATAACTTGAAAGCATCATTGGATCAAAACCAGGTCCCGTTTCTCCAGCCCATAAAATAATAATAATGATAATAATCCAAATTTGATAGAAGTCACTATCTTCCTCTTCTTCATCCATGAAATTAGTCTCATTATTTCCTGCAAAGTCCTGTTTCTCTTGAGCAATGTCAAAGGGAAGCATCTCCAAGTTAAATGAAATTGTAATATTCTCTTTCTCCTTCAGTGGTAAGTTTGATCTAAACATTTCTGGACAATTCAAAATCTTTTCAATTTTCTAATAGTAAACTTCCTCACTACCACAATTACACGTAAACTTCAAAAATATCCATTTAACATCTCTACAATTGTCTTAACTACTCTACTTGGTGAAGAATAATACTTATAATATCTTTTAGAACATTTTTCTTTAAGCTAAATTACTCGTGTTTCATCTCACTTAAACACCATTTAATCAAATATAGTTAGCTCCATATAAAAGCCCAGGTGTTTACAGTCTAACATATATCATCAACAACAGTAGCTTATTAGAAATACGGTAGTTGACATGAATCACGCAGAAGGAGACTTCAGAAGATTATCCCCAGGCGAGGCAGAGCAGAGGTGCCCCTGCATAACCTTGAGGCCTTGTGCCAGAATTGGCTCTCTAGAGGTCCCCCAAGGGCCAAACCTCCTTCAGGTTCTCCTGACTTCAGGTTCTCCTGACTTGCACTGTTGTTTCCCTAAAATGGTTGCAATGCTTCTCCCAAGGTTTAGTTAATGGGCAATAACTCCGTCAAGCGAAAATATTCACTATGTTGGGTCATCTTCCTGTTTCCTGCTATCCTAGGTGCTTGGTCCTCCAAAATATCACTAGGCTGGGAAGAGAACACCTCTTTTTCTGTGAAGGCTGACAGTATAAAATAAAGAAAATAATCAAGTAGAATCTAACTGCAGTGCAAAGACTGAAAGCATGGTACCCGGTTTAAAACAGAAAGCAAAACACTTAAAATACAACAGAGTACAATACAAAACGCTTAGAAGTTTTAAACTGTACTATAAAATACCAATAATAATCAAACAGAATCAAGCTGCAGTACAAAGATTTAAGGGGCAGTACCAAATTTAAAACAGAAACCGAAAAACTAAAATGCCTGGGGCGGGGGGAGTGGATTCTTAACTGATGCTGGAAAGAGCCAGGCGGCTCTCCCTGTATGGCCACTAGAGATGCTTTCCTGGGAACTTTTCAGGAAATGCTGAAAGCAAAGTAATATTGGTGCAGCCCTGGTCCCTTTTGGAATGGCATTTAGAAGGACGGGAGCCACCACCATTGAGGCCCTGCCCCAGTGGTTTCCAAACGTATCTCTGACCCATGTGGGATCAGCATGCGAGTGTCTCTTCGGAAGACCTCCACGATCGGGCAGGATGGTAAAGGGAAGGGGGCCTCTTCTTAAGTTGTCCAGGACTTTATGGCATTCTGTGAAACTTGACCATATTGCAGTATGGCCTCCCATAGTATTTCTCTTTGCTGTCCGATATTTATTTATTTATTATTTTATTTATAGCATTTTTATGCCGCCCCCATCGCAGAAAGCCTCGGGGCGGCTTACAAAGAAGATACGTGGGCTATATTTCCCTCTTTCTCCTTCAGGGGCCAGTGACGTTCGAGGAGGTGGCCGTGTACTTCACCGAGGAGGAGTGGGCTCTCCTGGACCCAGGCCAGAGAGCTCTGCACATGGAAGTCATGGAGGAAAATTATGGGAATCTGGCCTCTTTGGGTAAGAGGAAAAGGAGAGCCTCAGGGTTGTGGCCCACCAAGGGCCTGTCTTGTCCAACGCACTGTTCTTACAGTGGCTGACCAGATACCCCCGTGGGAAGCACATACACGGAGCACAAGCAAGGCACTTGCTCCCAAGCTCCCCAGTCTCCTGCCTCTGATGCTGGAGGTAATCCATGTCTGCCATGGCTAGCAGGCCCAATAATCTCAGAGCCATCCCAATTACTGGTGGCCCATTTTATCCCTGTATTGCATAGATCTAGAAACAGTGTGGTGTGGTGATTAAAAGTGCCGGACTAGGCGCTCAGGCGACCTGCAACTAACTGGGTAATTCTGGACCAGTCAGAGACTCGCAGCCCAGCCTACCTCACAGGGTTGTTTGTTGTGGGGATAAGACTGAGAGGAGGAGAATGAAACAAGCCGCCTTGTGTTCCTTGCAAGGAAAAAAATGGTGGGATATTTATTTATTTAAAACATCTGTATGCCACTCAATTGTGCCACAGCACCTCTGGGTGGTCACAATTACAAGATAAAAACACAATAAACACCAATAACAGCACCAATAAAATAACAATGAAATGCAAGCAGAGATACGAAACAAAGGTCATGTGGCAATTAGTTATTAAAATGTTTTTTAAAGGAAGGATATACATAGGATAGGAGCAGATAGGACTGAGGTGAGGCAGTGGGTGTTCTGAATGGGCATGGACTGGATGAAGGCCAACAAACTGAGATAAGACCCCTGAAGCAGGTGATGCAGCTAGTGCTCTGTACAGATGAGAGAGCTCATTCCACAAATTGGGTGCCACCACCAAGGAGGCTCTGCTTTCTGGTTGCCAAAAGGCAGCAGTCTGTAGGTCATGGTACCCTCAGCAAGATTCCCTTGATGATCTTCATGGCTTGTACTGGGGAAGGTAATCATTAAGTTTCAATGATTACCTTCAAATGATCAAGTTTCTCAGCTTAACGAGGCGCTGTGTGAAATCTGTATCTCTCCTGAAGCTCTCACCATTCAGTGACATCTGATTACCTCAGGTTCTAATATTCTGAACACTGCTGGGAATATACCTATCTTTTCACATAAATTTTCCCAGAAGCAGTTTCTCCTGCTAGTCTCTCTAACACATAACTAATTAATTTTATAGTGTTCTTTTTGTTAGATTTGTGAGCTGCCCAGAGGTGCTGTGGCACAATTGGGTGACATACAAATGTTTTAAATGAATAAATAAGATTTATTCTTGTTTTTCTGCCATTGTATTGTCTGCTTATTTTGCACTCTCTGTGGAAGATCATATATTAATATTCTTGTTTTTATTAACTAGTCTGCCTAATGCTAAGGCCAGTGGAGATCAGAAAGAAGGAAGAGGGAAATCTTGGGGAATTAGAAATAAGAAAAGTTGCTCATTAGAACATTAGGGTTTGATCTAGAATGTGATTTTGACTTCTCTGGATCAAATATTTTTATTTTCCCATCAGGGGATGTACAGGACAATGAGAACTATTGGGAGCCCCCTGTGTTGTCCTCCCAAACCATCAAGCAGGAAGTGGCCGAAGAGTCATTTCGGCACCCGTGGGGACCCAAAGATCACGAAGAAAACCAAACCAAGAATGGGAGGAAAGAGCCCTTTGCCTGTCCGAGCACCGAAGTCCCGGAAATCCTCATCTCCCCAGAAGACTGCCAAGGAAAGAAAAGGGCCAAGTGTCCAGTGTGTGGGAAAAAATTCCGGTATCAGTCGGACCTCAGCAGACATTTCCGGATCCACACGGGGGAGAAGCCCTACGAATGCCTTGAGTGTGGGAAGCGCTTCAGCGACAGCGGGACCTTCGCGGCGCACCGGAGGATCCACACGGGGGAGAAACCGTTCAAGTGCTTGGAGTGCGGGAAGTGCTTCAGCCGCAGCTACCACCGCACCACACACCAAAGGACCCACAGAGGGGAGAAGCCCTACCAGTGCCTGGCGTGTGGGAAGAGCTTCAGCCGGAGCACCACCCTTGCCGTTCATCAGCGAACCCACTCAGAGGAACGACCCTACGAGATCAAAGAACTGGGCTGGGGAAACCAAAGCCCCTGGGCCGATTCCGTGCCGCCGCCAACGTTCATCTGGCCCCTGCCCACCTCCTCCGCGATGGAGGCCATGGCCCCGCTCCTCTCTTCCTGGGCCGCCTCTTCCTCCCCCAACATTTGTGTGTTTGAGAGCGAGGGAGCTGGCAGGGAGCAAGAGGTGCTTCCCCTGGATGGTGAGTCCTTGAGGTGCAGGGAAACCGGGTGTGGAAGTGGGGGACCAAGCCGGAAAAAAGGGGGGGGGAAGATTTTTTTTATAATAAGTTTTATTTGAAATTATAATCCTAAAAACAAAGAAAAACTAAAAACAACATCCATCGTCAAAGACATCGGGCCTGCTGGGTCAGCCCCCACATTTTTTTTTCCCATTTATGAAAACTTAAAAACATATTTAAATCTATACGAAGTCCCGTTTCTCTAGCCAATGATAAAAAGAGTCCCAAGTTTGATAGAAGTCAGTATCTTTCTTCTCCTTCAACGATAAAGTCAATCTATCCGTTTCTGCACAGTCCAAGATCTTTTATAAAATCAGTTCGTCGGTGAAGTGGTTTTTGTTAAATTGCAGGGGGAGGGAGCCTGGAAAGAGAGGAGCAGGCCGAGCCTCGGCCGTCGCCGGATGTCGTCCGTCCGTCAGCATCTTCCACCCCTCCAGATGCTGCGGGCCCACTCCTGCCTCCCTGGACTGCCCCGTCCAGCGTGTGTCTGTATGAGCAAGAGAAAGAGGGAGTTTGCAGAGAAGGGGAGAAGGAGACACGGCTGTCTCATGGTGAGTCCTCACGCTGGGGGGAATTGCAGGGTGGTGGGGGGAATGGCAGAAAGCCCACAGCAGTGGGAGGGACACCTGGAGGGAGGGAGGCAGGGAGAGAAGTGGGGAAGCCTCCGCAGGAGATTGATTTGTTGGTGTTTCTCTGCTTGTGTGCCGTAAGTGGGTGATAATACTCGGATGGGGGTCATGTGGACCACAAAGCACTAGAACTCAGCGTTATCCATGGAGGCTGAAAGATCAGTTATTCAGGATCGGTGAAAGGAAGGACTTCTTCAGAGCATCTCGTGCGATGGCTTTGCGCGCAACATTGCTATGCTCCACGACATGGCGTTGCCCCAAGTCGTACTGTTTGTTGTTTTAATTAAAAAGTGTGAGGAGCAGTGCTGGGGTGAACAGCAAAGCAATGCCGTGATTGCTGAACAATGGCTAGATCACCATAAAACTGTTTGGATCCCCGGGGGGGGGGGGGTCTGTTGTGAGAGCAGAACGTTGCTTCCACTTTGGAGCTGGGGGTGTGCCTTAGGGGTCCCCCCACCGCTGCCCCGCACAGCCGGTGTGGAACGAGCAAGCACACGTGTGCTGTGTCTTGGAGGTCTTGTGAACACCCTCAGAGGTGGGCTCTTGGAGTTCTGGGGGGCAGGGAGGGGAGAGATGGGCACCCCTGGGATCCCCAGTGTCTTGGTAGTGCATTTGCCTTTTCCCTCCTGCTCCAGTGAGCCATCAAAGAGGTTAAGACTGCAGGGCTGAGACTCGGCTGATGGGGGTACTAGTCCCCGCTCAGCCATGGGGTTCACTGGGTCGCTTTGGGCCAGTCACAGACTCTCAGTCCAGCCTAGAGGAGGTTGTTCTTGTGAGGATAAAGTGGAGAGGAGGAGAACTTTGAAGGCTGCTTCGGTTCCTTGCAAGAGGAAAAAAGGTGGAGTATAAATGCCGATGTTGGTAAGAATAATAGTAAGAATGTTCATTTATTAGAGTTACATCCCACTCGTTTCTTGCAAAGATCTCAAAGTAGCTTTCATCATTCTCCTCCTGCTGCTCTCAGTCTTATCCCCACAACAACAACCCTGTGAGGTAGGCTGGGCTGAGAGTCTGACTGGCCCACACTCATCCAGTGGGCCTCACGACTGAGCAGGGACTAGAACCCAGATCGCCCGAGTCCCAGCCCTGTGCTCTTCACCACTGCACCATGCTGGGAAGAAGACGAAAATGTACTTTGCAGGGTGGAAGAAATGCAGAGGTGGTCTGTCCCCACCCCAACCCTGTAAGGATGCCTGTAACCTTCCGAAATCTGAAGGTTGCAGGCATCCCATTGGACTCTGCTCTTATATACGATTCTTGATGTATATCACAGGAAAACAAACCCCCTCCCCAAAGCAGCGCCATCATTTAAATAAAAGAAATGCTGTAACACCTCAATAGAATATAATATGAAGTGTCCGTTACAAATGCACAAAACCCTGCTTGCATGATCAGCACAAAAGCAGTCCGTGGCAGTTGGACCATAACCGAGGGGCAAAGACCCAAGAAAACCAGCTCGTTTTTGTGCAAAACAACTAATTCTGGCCGAAAAGTTGACCGCAGTGGCAACAGATGGTCTTTCTTGCAAGAGACATCCCATAAACACAGGGATCTTGCAGCAAAAAGGCCATGTCTGAATGGGGGCTCACAGCAAACTGCGAGCATTTATCAAGGTCTTTGCCGAAGTAGTTTTCTGCTCATTTTAAAGCATTTGATGGTGCAGTCCTTTAAGATCGGTGGGGGAGGCCTTGCTCCGGGAACCCTTTTTGAAGGAAGTATGGAGGGTGTCTACTCGGAGGAGGGCCTTCTCCGCAGTGGCACCTAGACTATGGAATGTGTCCCCAGAGAGGTCCGCCTGGCGCCCACGTTACACTCCTTCTGGTGCCAGGTGGAAACCTTTTTATTCAACCATCATTTTAATACTCAAGGGGTTTAGATGCTTTAAGATTTTTTTCCCTTTTCCTTTCCTCACAGTCGCATTTTCTATTTTCCCCTTCCTTTTCTTTTTAGTTTATGATGTTCAGGTTTATATGGACTTAATAATTGTGGTTTTCTTATTGTATTATTCTAATTTTATACTATGTAAGCCGTCCTGAGCACTTGTCGAAAGGATGGGATACGAATGTTTGTAATTAATTCATACATACATACATAGGCAGGAAAAGGGGCCTACAATTTCCCAGCTTGCCCCAGCAGTACAGGGCTGTTTCTCTCTCTAGGATTGTGCCTTAACTGGCTTTCTGACCTAGAATAGCATAGAGGGGGGAAAAGGGTAACCCAGAAAACAAGAACGCTGGAGAAACCCCCCTCTGATGGAAAGTGATAATGTTTGGGAGCTGTTTAACTTAGGGACAGATGACAGGAAACATTACAGAGTATTTTATAAAGATTGCTTGTGGATTGTGATATCATATACTACCAAACTCAGCTTCCTCCAGTGTGGCTGAAGGTGGGGGACATTGAGGAAAGATGGAAGGAAGGATGCCTTCAAACCATGCAGGGCTGACATGTGGATTTCACTAGCACGAGACAGGAGATGCCTGCCAGTTCAGCTGGCTTTTTACTGGGGAGTGGACAAACTCACGGAGGAAAAGGCAATCCGTGACTGCTGCTCCAGATGGATATGGTACCTGCAGGATTGGAGCAGAGTTAAAAACGAGGCCTAGCTAGTCGGGCTTGCTGTTCCCACAGGAGCCCACAAGCAGGGAGGGTTTGTACCAGCACCCACCCTCCTGCTTGTGTTCCCCGGTGACTGGTTGCTGTGGAACAGGGGTGGGAGAGTGCTGGTGCACTGTTGTTCTGCTGGGGCAGCCGTTGGCCGAGCAGGATGTTGGACGGGGGAGGCTTTGGGCCGATCCAGAGGGCTGCTCCTAGATTCGGACGATCGCAACAGGGTTAGTCCAGCCCGAACTGACACAAGGCCTGAACCTTGGGTGGTGGCCCAGCTCACGTGGGTTATTATGCACATGGTAGGTCTTTCATGAGTGGAGTCGGCTGGAGCCGGGGGTCAGACCAGATGGCCCAGGAGACCTGCTCTGTTTCTGTGCTTCTGTATTATAACCCATGATGCCCCACAGGGCATGCAGCAGCTCGCGGTCCGAAGATGCAGCATCCCCGTGGGTCCTGGCACGCTGTCCAAAGCTGACCATCGGGGGTCGTGCAGTCTTTGCAGCAGCCCTCGCCTAGTCCCCATCGGCCGGGTTCGGCCGACGTGCCACAACGCCACTGGAGGCAGAGTAGTGATCACGGCAGCTGCGCTTCTCACGGAGGGGATAAGGAACCTGCTGTCGTGCTTTGTTTCAGCCTGGCTAGCGAAACAGCCTTTCCCTGCACCATGATTCATGGAGGGGGGGACCCTCTGTGGCTACGTGCCCCCTCCTTCACAGGTGGCCAGCGTGTACATACCAGGAGGCCAGGCAGCTGGAGGTCTTGCATCCGTCCTGTTGGAGGGATCCTGGGGCAGCTGGTTTGTCCTCATGCAAATGGAGTGCTGGACTAGACAGACCCTGGGTCTGATCCGGCAGGGCTTTTCTTAGATCCTTAACCTCATTCTAAGCAATAAAGCTGACTATTGCTTTCTGTGTTGTTAGACCACTCAGCTCCTCCAACGACACTGACGAAAAGGAAAGTGGATGCCGAACGCCGTGTTTTCAACAAGAGCTGGACAACGCATTATTTTTTTGTGGAGCTGCGAAATAAGCCCGTGTGCCTGATCTGTGGGAAGGCCTTGGCTTGCATGAAGAAAGTGAACCTGGAGAGACACTATAACACGATGCACAGCCAGTACGAGGAACTGCAAGGGCAGCAGCGCGAGGAGAAAATCAGCGCTCTGAAAAAGGAGCTGAACGCACGGCAAGGGACTCCCCCAAGCTCGAGAAAGGAAAGTGTCTCTCAGGGCAGCTGCGCGGACAGCGTCGTGCAGGCCAGCTATGCGGTGAGCGAGCTGATCACCAAAAAGCTCCGGCCGCACTCGGAGGGCGAGTTTGTGAAGGAGTGCCTCATCGCAACCGCAGCTTTGCTGGCTCCGGAGAAGCTGAAGTTATTTGAGAGCGTGAGTTTGTCCCGCACGACGGTGTCCGGTCGAATTAGCGACATGGCGCAGGATACGGAAACCTCCCTGAAAGACTCCGCAACCGATTTCGCATTCTACTCTCTGGCCATCGACGAGACGACGGACATCACGAACACGGCTCAGGTGGCCATTTTTGTGCGAGGCACCAACGAAGCATTCGAAGTCCGGGAGGACCTGCTGTCTCTGGCGGCTGTGCACGACACCACCAGTGGCGCGGATATCTTCGAGAAGGTCGTGGCGGCAGTGCGCAGGCTGCAGCTGTCATTTGACAAACTCAGCGGCCTTAGTACGGATGGCGCTTCGGTTATGGTTGGACCCGAGGAGGGCTTGGTTGCCCTGGTCAAGAAGGAAATCGAGTGTCTTGGCCGCGATCCGAGCGAGTTGGTGGTGTACCACTGCATCATTCACCAGGAGGATCTGTGCGCACAGTCCGTGCGCCTGAGCCACGTCATGTCGACCGTGATCTCCAGCATCAAGTTCATTAAAAACAGGGGTTTCAACAGCCCGTTATTTAAATCACTGTTGAAAGACCTCGAGTCGGAATGCGGGGATTTGGTCTATTACTGCGAAGTCCGGTGGCTGATCCGGGGAAGTGTGCTGATGCGGTTTTACGAACTGAGGGAGGAAGTGAAACTTTTCATGGAGACAAAGGGGCGGCCGGTGGCTGAGCTGAGTGACCCCGGCTGGCTATGCGACCTGGCCTTCCTCGCTGACTTGACTCAGTATTTGTCTGAGCTCAGTGCCTCCTTGCAAGGGCCTAACCAGCTCCTGCCATCCCTTCTTTCAAATGTCAGGCTGTTTGAAACCAAGTTAAATCTCTTGCAACTGCAGCTGGAAGAGGGCAACACACTCTATTTTCCAACACTTCAAGGACGAAACCCCGAATCCACGACTGAATATGCCTGGGAGTGTGCTAATCTCCTTCAGATATTTTGCGAACGCTTTCAAGACCTGGAGGAGAAGGAGTCAGAATTGAACATGTTTGCCACGCCATTCAGCATCGATGTAGATGAAGTGCCTGAACGCTTCCGTCAGGAGCTCACTGATCTGCAAAACAATGGCGAACTTAGAATGCAGTTCGAGAACTTGGACCTACTGGAATTCTACAGACTTTGCATCGGGGCTGACGAATTCCCACAGCTGAGGAGGCACGCGCTGAAAATGGCATCGCTGTTCGGAACGACTTACTGCTTCGAGCAGTTTTCGAAACTTTCTCTCACCAAGAATTGCCGACGGGCCAGATTAACAGGCACAAACTTAGAAAACCAGCTGCGTGTAGCAATTTCGTCTGTGCCAGCTGATATAGCAGGGCTCACCAAGGAAAAGCAAGCCCAGGTCTCACACTAGAGACCGTGACTGAGGGGAGAATATTTTTTCCTTCTGTAACAGAAACTAAATAAAAACTTAAAAGGTTAGCTGGAGCAGATATTACCCCCTTTAATATATTTTGCGGCTTTTAGTCCCCATCTCGCACTCAACTTGGACCTATGCAATACCAGAAACTACCCAGGGACTAAGTCTGGACCGAACCCAATAAGTGTGGGAAGAATTTTGTTTATAGCTCAAGCCTTAAATCACATTAGAGAATCTATACAGGGGAAGAGCCCTTGTTGCTTGGGATAGGACTACAACTCCCATTCTTCCCAGTCAGCATGGTCTGTGTATATGCTGGCTGTGGATGAGGAGGATCTGGAGGGCATTGGGTTGGGAAAGCGTTCTGTAAATGCTCCGACTGGAAGGGGCTTCCACTGAAGGATGCAGCTTAATAGATAGGGAAGAATGAGAGCATCGACTGAGGAGAAATAATAAAATATTAAGCAGAAGAATGAGCACAGGGAGGAAATCTGTGAATCCCAGCAGTGTCTGAACTGTGCAAAGATCTTCAAGTGATGCAGAGCTCTTCATTTGGAAAGATTTAACAAACTCAGGAGAAAGCACATGTAAACGGAGCAGGGCTTTTGGATCAAAGCTAGTCTAATGAACAACAGAGAATCCACACTGGAGACTGGCTGTAGAAATGCTCCTGGCACGGCAGAAACATTAATCAGCACAGCCGGATATGAGCAGGTGGTATCAGGTGAAGGCCACCTTCCGGCAAGTAGTGGGACAAATTTTCCGATAAGGCGCTCCATGGGTCACTTGTGATGAAAGAACTTTGTCCCGTGACAACTACATGAATCCCTGCTGGCACCAGGATTAATTATACACCTGCAGTCGCCGGCTCAGGGCATCTTTTGTAAATTAATAGGACATATACTGCACTGGAGCCTAATTCTGGAATTGGTTCATTTCTTGCTGCACAAGAGCAATTTTTAAAATCTTCCCTTAAGCTCCGTTTTGTACAAAAATGTTTAATTAAACCGTGGGCTTTTGAATCCTCCTCTGTCTCCTGTTTGTCAACCTTCAGGCTTTTCAGGCCTACGGGCACGGTGGGAGTTTTGATAACATGGGGTAGGGACCACCAAAATATGGCTTCTGTCTAGTCAGAAGATGGCTGCCAGGAGAGTCGTGGCTAGCCCTGAACCAAGAAGTGAAGTCACATCTAGCAAATCACAAGTTTGCACAATTTTTACTGGGGTCTCCATAAAATCACGACCTAATTAAACTTACTGTTTACTTTGACCTGATTCCCACACAACGCTGCTGCTGCTGCTGCTACACTGCATTTATTTTTGGCCCTGTTTCCTCTTGTGCAGAATTCAAGGTGGCTTACATACTTCCCTTTTATCTGCACAACAGCCCTGTGAGGTAGGTTCAGCTGAGAGGGAGTGACCAGGGAAGTGACCAGGGAAGTGGGGACTGGAACCCAGATTTCCAGAATCCTCATCATGGTCCAAGACCAGTCAAAACCCTGTTTACATGCCAGTACCACAGCGCTGTAAAGGCCATTAGGATACATGGAAAAAGCTGATAAAGGAGGAACAAAAGAAACAAGCCAACATACCAAGAAACAAACATGGTTTGTTTAATCATCTGCCAGACAAACCCTTGGTCGTGCACGAACCATGCTTTAACTAAACCATGGGTTATTGATGTGTGCAAACCAATCATTGCCCGAGACAGGCTGTTCCCCAAGCTGGCCCCAGACATTTTGACATCTTGGCACCTCCCACCCAGGCAAGGTGCAAATCGCAAATGATTTGGGTACCCGAGATCAAGCTTTCACAAGCTCCATTCTCCCCCCCTTTGCTGTCCTTTTATGTCACCCCGAAATAGCAACCTGAGGCAAATGCCCCATCCCTAGTACATAGCAGGACTGGCCCTGCTCCTGCTTTGACACCAGCTTTTCACGTAAAAGGAAGGTCAGCAGCTCGTCCTTTAGAGCTCCACCCTGGGGCCAAAAGGGCCTGCCTTTACATTTTCAGTTTGGTTCACCTGAACCTCTTTCTAGCTGGCCGGTGAGTCTAAAGGAAGTCAACAGCATCAGTGGAAAAAATAGGACCGATACATGAAAGTGCGCGTCCTAATGCAGACAATTTGCAGCATTAGCACATTTCCAGTGCGAAGTATATGCCTGATAACGTTTTCTTGGAGGATTACAAACGTAAAAGAAACACGGGGGAAGGAATAAGACACAAGCTGTCCCCCCTCAGCACCGTTGCACTGGGGAAGGCATCTGGAAGGAACAAGAAAGGGGGCAGACACAGGCCAGAGCAGAGCGCTGGCAATTTTCAGGATGTTGTCATCACACTGTGTGCTGTGAAGCTCTGAGGCTCCCTCTCCGGTGCCGCTCCTCCTCCTCTGCCCGGCTCAGAAGGAAACCTTCGGCCGGGGCTGCCGCGTGTTAAATGCTCTCTGCTCCACATTTCTGTACCCTGCTCTGCATCTCTGGGTGCAGCACAGCTGGGAACTGCTCTAGGATCATGACGACATTGAATTGTAGAGTTGGAAGGGGCCAGAGGGCCAGGGGGTCCGACATCCTTGCTCGGTGCAGGACTCCGCATCAAACCATCCTTCTTGGATGGCTGTCCAGCTGCACCTTGGATGCCTCTAGCGTGGGGTAGCTCACAACCTCCCCAGGTCATTGGTTCCATTGTCCTACTGCTCTAACAGTCTGGTTTTTCCTGGTATCTAGCCAGAATCAGGCTTCCTGCCATTTGAGCCTGTTATTCCGTGTCCTGCGCTCCAGAATGAACAAAAAGGCCTCTGCAAGGGGCGGCATAGAAATGTTTTAATAAATAAATAAAAAATAGAGTTTGTATTTCCTCTTCGTGACAGCTTTTCGAGAGCTTGAAAAGTAATATCATAGCTCCCCTCAGTCTTCTCTAGTCAAGGCTAAACATGCCCAGTTCTTTCAATCTCTTCACAGAGCTTGTTTTCCAGCCCCTGGAGCATCCTTGTTGCCCTCCTCTGATCCCTTTCCAGCTGGTCTGCATCTTTCTTAAACTGTGGTGCCCAGCACTGGGCACAGGACTCCGGATGAGGCCTAACCAGAGCTGAGCAGACGGGAATTAGTATTTCACAGGATTTGGAAGTGATGCGTAGTGGTTAAGAGCATGGGACTCCGACGATCCGGGTTCTAGTCCCCGCTCGGCCATGGAGCCAACTGGGAGACGTTGGGCCAGTCACAGCCTCTCAGCCCAGCCTACCTCACAGGGTTGTTGTTGTGGGGATAAGATGGAGGAGAAGAATGATGTAAGCTGCCTTGAGCCCTTTGTAGGAAAAAGGCAGGATATAAATCGAAAAATAAATAAATAAATAAATAAATGCAGCCTAAAACAGCATTTGGCCTTTCTGCAGCCACATCACACACCTGACTCATATTCAGCTTGTGATCTAAAACAATTCCAAGATCCTTCTGACTGGCAGTATTGTTGAGCCAATCTTGTAACGATGCATTTGGCTTCCTTTTCTCCTAGGTGCGGAACTTGGCATTTGTTCCCGTTACATTTCATTCTGTTGCTTTCATCCCAGCACTCCAACTTCGTTAGAGCACCTTGAAACTTCTCTCTGTCTTCCAGGGCATTAGTTATCCCACCCAGCTTTGTGTCATCTGCAAATATGATCATAATTCCTTGCACCTGCGCATCCAGGTTATTAATGAAAATGCTGAAGGGCACTGGGCCCAGGACTGAACCCCAGCTGCTGCCTCTCCCCCGCTGGAGCAGGTGCTGTTGATGAGCACTCCTTGAGTCCGCTTCTGTGGCCAACGGTGGGTCCACCTGATCGCTGTTCCACCTAGTCCACTTTTGGCTAGCTCGCTACTCAGGGGAGTACTTTGTCAAAAGCTTTGCTGAAGGTCTGGCGTTTGGGTCTCGGTGTGCCTTTCCAGCTTCTGCCACCCACAGCAGGGGTCGGGCAGCCGGCTGCAAACCGCTCAGGGTCCCCTGAAGCATGTCGCGACTCCCAGTGTATTAAAAAAAAAAATTATAACCCCCCCCCCCGACAATACAGGATAATACAGTACAATGGTATCTTATGGTATCTAAAATATTAAGAATGCATAAATACATTGTATAAATTTCATACACACACACACACATAATAAAAATAACAAATATCACTGTGCACCCCCCAGACCAATTATTACTTCCATTTCATTTCATATAACAAATAACAGTGTATAAAATACTTCATTTATACCCATATCCCCTCCAGAAATTCAAATATTCTTGAATAGGCTTACACTTTACCTTCCATCAATACTGCTTGTTAACGGAGAAATTCTTGTTAACGGAGAAATTAACTGCTGTCTCCATTTTTCCCATACTTCCATAGTACTTTTTAAAAAGGGATTTTGAATTCTCTTAATAATCTTTTTATATCCTTTTTAAACCATTATGTCTCTAAATGATCACCTATTTCTCTTAATTCTTTTAATTCAGTATCATTCCATATTAGTTCTTTACTTTGGGCTATAATGTCTGGAACTATCTTTAATTGATTTGCAACCCAATACTTTTTGATATCTGGAATACCCAGGCCACCCTTTTTTGTGATTCATACCATAATACTTTACTTATTCTTGTTCTCTTCCCTCCATTACAATGTACTTCCAATCACTTCTGTATTTCCTTTAATTCTTGATCATGAAACTTGATTGGAATCATCCGAAATAAAAAATTAATCTTTGGAAGAATTTTCATTTTTATTACTATTCTTCCAAACCGTGATAATTTTACCTTTTCATATTTTCCTATTTTATCTTTTATATCCTTCTTTAACTTTTCATAGTATTTCTTTAGTTCTTGACTATTTTTTGGAAGATCAATTCCTAAGTATCTAATACTATCTACCATTTTTAATTTATACTTTGCTTATAATATATCCAGTTCTTCATTTTATGATGATTATATAACATCATTTCTGATTTTTTCCCATTTACTTGCAACCTGCTGTATTTTCCAAATTCCTTTAAATGTGAATATACTCTCCATAGTATTTATTGGATCCTGAAATCTTAACAGTGCATCATCTACAAATAAATTTATTTTAACTTTCTGACATACTCCAATTCCTTCTATCTGTATATCATTTCGAATTGCATTTGCCAGTACTTCCATCATTAATGCAAATAATACTGGGGACAAAGGGCAACCGTCTCGTTCCTTGGCTTAAGGTTATTATTTCTGTAATACCATCATTTACAATTATTTTTGCCATATTTTCTGAATGTAATTGATTTATTATTTTCTTAAATTTTGTTTCAAATCCCATCTTTCTTCATTGTTGGCCATTCCACACAATCAAAGGCTTTAAATATATCTAATGCTAATATACTTGCCTTTAAATTTGGCTTTAAATTTTAACCCAACTCCCAGCGTCCATGCCTGCCCAGTTCTTTCCCAGAAGGTCCCACTGCCCCTATCCCCAGTGCCCTCCCCTTCCTGCTTCAGACTCAGATGAGCTCAGCTCCTCCACCTTCACTTCTGATTTTCATGGTGACTTCCAAGATTGCTGAAAGATCCCTCTTCCCCACAGACTTCTCTCCTAAAGGTGGGGACTGCTGAGAAGGAGGAAGCAGCAAAAGCCTGCAAGGCAGGGGCCTTGTTTCCATGCAAAGCATGGCACTTCGGAGTCCAAAGCATCCCAGAGATATGTGGAGAAGAGGGGATGCTTCTGGATGTTGGCCAGGGCTTCTCCCTGCAAGAAAGGAAGAGAAACATTAAGCCGGGGAGCAACTACAGATTGGCAGGAGTTGGTAGGGGGAAGGGCCCTTTGGCTGTGCCCAGAGACTGAGGCCGACCTCCACTTTGCACCCTCTTCCCAAGCAGCAGCTCTGTCCCTGCATTGTGTCCATTCTGTTCCACCGGGCAGTTCCAGAGCCTTTCTAGCCTCACATCAGAAGCTGCTTTAGACTGAGCTGGATCAAGGATCCAGACTTGGTGCAGTTTTCCAGCGTTTCCTGGTAGGATTCCTTTCTATGTCTACCAATACGGTGTAGTGGTTAGGGGTGCCAATCTGAGACTCGAGAGATCTGGGTTCTAGTCCCCACCCAGCCATAGAGCTTGCTGGCTTACCTTGGGCCAGCCACAGGCTCTCAGCCCAACCCACCTCACAGGGTTGTTGTAGGGATAAGATGGAGAGGAGAATTACATAAGCCTCCTTGAGTTCCTTCAAGAAAAAGCTGGGGTGTAAAAATAATAAATGCCTGGGGATCAAATCTGGGACCTACTGCGTGCAAAGCAAAGGCTCTACCACAAAGCCCTTCACCTGGGCATGACGATTCTAGTCCTCAAGGTTCTGAGAAAAGAACTGGATTCAGTCGAAACATGGGAAGCTGCTTGAACTAGAACTGGACCCTTGGTGTGCCAAGACGAGTTTTACCCGCACCGATCGTCAGTGGCTTTTAGGCAGGATATTTCCACCCCCGCCACTCCTTGTTGGTGACATCAGAAGCCAACCCCGGCTCCGCTTGCGTGCAACGGGCACGCCAAGGCGCTGAGCGGCAGCCCCGCCAGCCTTGCTTGCCACTGCGGTGCAATTCCGCCTCTGCCTGGGGAGGCGCTCAGCACTCTTCACACGTCCCCTTGCAGCTGCAGCTAGGACCCCCGAGGCGGTGGGGGGCAAGACCCGCACCCCTGCTCCCCAGCTCCCCGTCCCTCGCCTATTGACTCCCCCCCCCCGGGAGTTCGCGCCACTCTCCTCCTGCGTCCCTGGAGTCCTCCCGCATTTTCCGGATGTGCCTTGGCAGGGAGGGGGCCGGACCGGAAGTGTGTCCTCATGCTACTTTGGGGCCCCTCTAGCACGCTGCACTCTCGCACTTTAACCCGTAACCACCCAGAAGGAAGCCCGGAGTCGGACGCAATGGTGCTGCGGCACGTCGTGGTCTCCCGGAGGTGAGGGTGCGCCGTCGCGGGGTGGGCCAGATTTTCTCTTTGGGTGCCCCCGGCCCGTTCCTCACCCGTTTCTCCCCACACACATTTTGCATGGCGTGGTGCTTCCCAGGCGTGCCCGTCTTGTCTTGTGACTCACCGGGCCAGGTGCAATGCTGTGGCACATGGGAAGGGCTGCTGACCCGCAGCGCTTTATTTGGAGCTGCCGTCTGTGGGTGGGCCGGCTGGAGCTGTGCATTTACAGTGGGCTCAGCCCTGGAACAGCTGCTTGGGTCTGGGAGACTGCTTCGGGGTCCGTCGGGAAGCGAAATGCCATGGGGGGAGCCAAGGGGCAGGGGCTACAGGGGAGCGACCCCGATTCCTCCCCCCGTTCGCGCACGGTGCAGTGCTTTGAACCTGCACGGGGTAAGACGCCAGGTACTCACTCGCCACTGACTTCAGCCTTGCGCCCACCGTAACGAGGGGGTGAATGCTGGTGGCTCCGCGGAGATGCCTTGTTTCTTAAAGATGCTGCAGCAAGACTCGTTAGGGGAGGCAATCAGTCCCCGAGAAAGATCCATCGCTCTCCTGTGAGGCCCCGAGGAGGGAATGGGTTGCCCTCAATGAGCTGTAGTGCCGAAAATTGCTCCTTGAACATGGCTGCAGAGGAGCAGTAACCCCCAAAGTAATGCTTCCTCCTTCACACCATCTTGTCAAGCACGCACGATTATTTATCAGGAAAACGCTGGAGAGTTTATTTATTTATTTAAAATATGTATATGCCACATACTTCACCTATGGCATCCCTAGGAGTCGAGAAATAGAATTCCTGCTTCCTCAATTCCCAAAACACTAGGAAGTCAATAAGGCATGTGTCGAGATGTCTGCTTATACAACACCAGAGGTGGGGAGTAGGCGTACAGTGATTCCTTCAACCTATTCTGCTTTGGTCAGACCTCCTCTGGGGTATTGTGCCCTGCAAAATGTTAAAAAAGGTGTTTGATAGACTAGAACACCCACAGAGACGTGTGGCAAAGATGGGAAGGGGACCTGAGAGCAAGTCCTCATGTGCCCTTGTCAGCCCCAGAGCAGTAAAGGAGTTACGGTTTGGCATTCTCCGTGATCCCATCCTTGCTGCTGTCCGAGAGGCAGCCCCAGTGGATGCTTGGAGAGGGAGGTCGGGGGGGCACAGCCACAACCCCTCCATGGCATGACTGAGAGCAGCTGTCGTGAGGCCATGACTTGTAACTCACGTCTCCAATTAACTTACACCGCAGCTGGCAATAAAACTAAGGACTTTTATTGCTATTTACTGCAAGATTTACGATGCAACAGATAAGCTCTGTCGATGAGCTCCTAGCAGCTCAGAGCCAGGATGTGGGGAGGCTACTTGCTAGGCGAGGAAACCTCAAAGTTGGGTTGCAGGGGGGCCGTTTGCGCCCAGGGCACCAAGTATAAATCCTCACGCTGTGAACTTCTGGCCCTCTCTCGTGTGCCGATGTCTCTGTCAAGCCGACAGCAGCTGGCAGAGTTTTCTGAACCCACTGCCAGCGCTGCTGCCATGGGGGCCCCAGGAACTTGGGCAAAATCTTGTGAGAGTTTTGCCGAGCTCTTATCAGAGTCTTGCCAAGCTCTTGCGAATGTTTGGCTGAGCGCTTGTGAGAGTTTGGCAGAGTTCTGGTGGGAGCCCCACAACTGGAAAGGGGCACAGGGTAGAGAGCAAGCCAGTGGGCAGATGTAGATGTCATGGGTAGAAGCAGGTAGGTGAAGACAGCTGCAGGTGAGGAGGTGTCACTTGAGGAAACGGTACATTGGGTTGGCCCTGCTGGTAGCCATGTTAAAAATATTGAAAGGGCTACCACAGAGCAGGGGTGTTGAATCTCGGCTCCGCAGGCCAAATTCGGCCTTTGTGGCCTGCAGGTGCCCCCCACACCAGGCCTGTTCCCTTTTGCCTTGGCTACTTGCAATTTTCAGCCTTTTGCACACATTCCCCCATTCTAAAAGTTGGAAATGTCTCTTTGGGTGCTTCCTTATTGTTTCTAATAAGAATTCTAAATTCCACTGTCATTTCTGAGTTCGGTTGCTGTTGCATCCACCGCTGTTCGTCTCTGGAATGTGGCTTTCAAATTAAATGTGGCTCTTCTGCTGAAAAAAAAAAAAAAGACCCCTCTGATGGAGAGGATGGCTTGAAGTTGTTTTCTGTTAGATCAAGTTCAGGACACAAACCAGGCTCAAATGACAAGGATAACATGTTGGGGAGAACTTCCTGATGGGACAAGTACATTTGACAGTGGTGCTGACTTCCTTGGAAGGGTTGGGCTGTCCTTTGTTAGAGGTTTTAAAGGGGAGGCTGAGTGGAGATGCCACACTTGCCTATTCCTGCACTGGCAGAGGGTTGGACTAGATGACCTTTGGGATCCCTTCAATCTCTAGGATTCCAGGATTGTAACTTAAAGGGTAGACTTTTTGCTCTTGTTCTCTGCTCCATCACACTCTGCCCTGACAGTCCCAGCAAGCCAAATGTGGGGCCTGGAGGGAATTGTTTGCCCTCCCCACAGACTGGAATTCAGGCTTTGCCCCAGCCCATCAACTACTGCTAGGAGGTTCCCCTGTCTCTCCCAGGCATCTCTCTCTTATTCATACTTTTTTAAAATAAAAGCCCACAATTTACTAACCTGTGAGTGTTGTTCCTCTGCTGGGAGCAAGTACAGGAAGAGTAAGACTAGTTCTGCCCTTCCGACAGCAGCCTACCATATTTTAGTGCTGGGTGCAGGAAAGGAAGTCTCTCCTCTAGCAGTCCCCATGGTTTCTATGCTCACCTGCATTCAGCTCCTTGTCGCCTGTGGTGAGCGGCTTGTCTCTCAATCCAAGACTGCTCTAAATCTGAAACTCCAGAGTGCCACTTTGTTACTTTGAATCTCAGCAGCTGGTCACCTCCTCCTCCTCCGAGATGTTGCAGAAAGCCTCTTCCTGGGTGAACATTTGCCTCCCTGCAACGTTTTAACTGCTCAGAAGAAGACTTTCTGAAGGGAAAATGAAGGGTGTCTCTCGTAAATGCAAGACTGTAGGGAGGAAATGTTGGTGTGTCTGCTCGGGCGGGGTAAGGGTTAAAGTGGCAAATGTGTCATTCCTAGAGAGGAGCATTTCTGACAGGTCACATGAAAATGTTGAAAGAAAGAAAAAAAAAAGGAGAGCCCTCCTTTCCGGTTCCCTCCCCCTCTTTTAATTACTGGAAAAGAAGTGTCTATTTGTGAAAGTTTCCCCAGCACACCTGGGTAAGTGTATCCGGCTAACAGACACTGGTGAGTTCATGTGGGAGAAGGAAAAAGATTAAAGGATTTTGGGAGGGTGATTAGTAGAAACGGAGACTAGCAGCCAGGAGCTTCAACAGAGCTTCTGTCTTCAGAAGTCCAGCACTGGGGATAAATTAGAAGGACTTTCGTATCTGATCCAGAAGGGTACTTATTTTTTCGGATGGTGCAGAGACAGGGCAACAAGATGCCAAGCACACGATCACGAAGAAACCTAAGAGTGCGTTCTAGCACCACCGATCGATCAAAGGACTTATTCGGCTTTTCTGCCCTTCCTCTGTGGTGGGATTTTATTTCATTTTATTTTGGGTAAACTACTGTATTTTGGAAAGGAAGAAGTGGTGGGAAAACATGGGAGGGTTACAGGTGGCGGACAATGTTGCCTGGTCTTGCCCATTAAAATTCTGCAGATAAGAAAACTGCATTATAAAAAGTCTCTCTTCAAAGCAAGTACCATCTTTCTAGGAGGTATGTATTCTCTGGTCTTTAAGCTGTTAGATTCCTTTCCACAAGATTCAGTGATGGCCACCAACTTAGATGGTTTTTAAAAGGAGATTAGACAAATCTGATTGCTTTAATTGGGGTTTTATTGTCAGTTGAATTTTTTAGGACGCTGTGTTTTGTTTTACATTGCTGTACTGTTAAACTGTCCCGAGTCTTTGATAAGGGATGGTCTAGAAAAGTTTTAAATGAATAAATAAGGAGGAGAAGGCTAGACATAGCTGCTAGTCCTCATGACCAATTGCTGCCTCCAGGAGCAAAGGTATTAAGCCTGTGTGCAGCACTTGCTGGGGAACTTGGGCGGGAGGTGCTGTGGCCATCGTGTCCTGTCCGTGGGTTTTCCTTGGGTGTCTGGGTGGCTGCTGTGGAAAGAGGAGCTGGACTGGGTGGACCTGTGGCCTGATCCAGCAGGACTTTTCTGGTGTTTCCGTGTTGCTAAACTTAAACAGACCACCATTTCCTCTTATGCAGTTATTTAAAGAGGCAGAAGTTCCCCTGTGATTGAATCACATCTGCTTCGCCCAGGCTAGAACAAAACATTGGAACCTCTGGACCTAGTCTGAAAGAAACAAAGGAATCATGAGCTGGTGCATAATCGGGAAACATGACATGTTGTGATGGGCAATCATATAGCTGCAGCTTCTGTATAGCCTGAAGCACCTGTTCCCGCCTAATCTTGGAAGCTAAGCAGGGTTGGGCCTGGTTGAAACCTGGATGGGTGAATAAATGTTGTGAACTATCCAGAGAGGCTGTGACTATCAGTGGTACATAAATGTAATTAACAACATAGAAACAGAGCGAGCCAGAAGGGGTCTTCTGGGCCATCTAGTCTGACCCCCATAACAACAACAACAATCTGGCTTTTTGGGGCTTGCTGTGTTGTGTGAACACAGCCAGTATGGCTTGATGGGGGTAGGTTGCCAGCCAACAACAGCCCAAACTTGTTTGAAGGTTGCTGTCCTCTCCAACAAGCCATGCCAGCCAGGTTCACACAACACGACAAGCTACAACAGTGGGGCTAATTGAGCTAATTGCACTGGCTGGTGAGCCACCATGGTTTATTTCCCTCGGCGTTATCATGCAAGCCCAGTCACAGTGTCATTCCTTTGCAATTTCTTCTTGATATCTCTCGAGTTTCTCCCCAGTTCTTTTTTCTCCTCTCTGCCTGGCCATCTCCCCCTTCTTGGAGGTGGTACCCCAACTCTGTGACTCCCTTAGAAACTCTGCTATCTTCCGTGCTGCTCATTTTTCCACTCTGTGTGCTGTATGGTTTGATTTCTGTCATTAGCCACTCTGGGCACCTTGTGAGGAAGGTCGAGGTATTAAGAGAAATAAACCCAGTTTGCACTTGTACATGGTGGGTATGTCGTGAGCAGAGCCGGCTGGAGCCGGGGGTCAGACTAGATGGCCCGGGAGACCCCTTCTGACTCGCTCTGTTTCTATGTTTCTGTGTCTTTTCTTAAGGAGGAGGTTTTGCAAATCTGGTTCAGCACGGAAACCTCTGAAGGCCCCAACTGGGCATGCTGTTGGTCAACCCAACCCATAACTTCAGAAGCTTTCCTATCAAACCTTCAGTGGATTCCAAGATTCCTCCTCCCCCACGCTGTTTTGAACATTGGAAATGTTTCTCTTAAGGGCTTACTTGCTGGCTGGAAAAACGCTAAACTAAATCCTAACCCTGACCTAGTGCCCTTAGAATTCAGTGCTCCTGTTTTTTGGACCTTTGGGGGTTATGTTGTGTGTTGTTTCTTTGTACTCCATTGGGGTTTGTTTATTTTTTTCGCCAGATGTATTTGTACTTCTGTAGGCCTCGAGGGCTCAGCCAGACTTGCTAATATCTCACTCTTGCACTTGCCTGATGCCATTTTTGCAGCATGTTCATCATGGGATGAAAAACAGGTAGAGGGAAGTTGCTTTATCTGGAAACAGTCCAAATCTTTATTTATATTGCCACCAAGAGAGATGGCCAGCAGTGGGTTTGCAGCCTGCATCTATCTCTTGTAACTGCAGTGGTACCTTGGCTCACAAACTTAATCCATTCTAGGACTCTGGTCGTGACCCAAATCGGTCGTGAGCCAAGTTAAATTTCCCCATAAGGTTCAATGAAAATAAGGTTAATCCATTCTGTAACCATTTTTAAATCAGAAAAAATGTGAAGCAAAGTGACAACAAAGATCGCGGCCATCTCCCCGCCCCCTGCCCCGAGTACAAGCACGGCCATCTCCCTGCCCACGCCCCCCCAGCACGACCGAGATCATGCCTGTCATCCTGGTGTGCTGCGGGGTTGCGGGGAGAGACTGGTGTGATCGCGGGTGCACTGGGGGAGGAAAAGATGGGCGCAAACAATGCGCTGGAGGAGGGTGAGATGGGTGCGATGCCGGCCATCCCCCCCCCCGCCCCCAGCACAATCGCGGCCATCTCCCCACTTGGGGACGGGGGGAGATGGCCGTGATCACAGTTCCATTTGTGCAGGGAAGGTGTGCCTGATCAGAGGTGTGCTCCTGCAGGAAAGACAGGTGCAATCTCGGCCACCCCCCCCCCCCCCCGCGGCTCTGCTGTGCTGCTCCCGTCTTTCCTGCAGCAGTGCACCTCTGATCAGGCACGCCTTCCCTGCATGAACGGAACTGGGATCGTGGCCATCTTCCTACTCGGGGGGGAGAGGGGGAGATGGCTGCGATCTTGGTCGCCACCCAAAGTGGAGTTTGCGACCCAAGTCAAAATTTTTCAGAAATTTTTGTTCGTGACCCAATTTGTTTGTGAACCAAGGCGTTCGTGAGCCAAGGTACCACTGTATTGTATTGCTCTTGAGTAAGTCTGACCCAAATTTTGCCAAGGTCATTGTGTACCCCTTGCAAACAACCAGCCAGCAGTTCTGTGCCTGGTCCTGGATTGTTTGGAACTTTACCCATGAGGGAGTTTTTCCCCAGAAAGATATTTTGTATTTCTGCAAAGCTTGGAGAAACTTTCTCAGAGCAACTTTCTCTGTGCACAGGTGGCACCATTTGGGTTAAATTGATTTATTGATTTATATGCTGCCCAATTAGCCACAGGCAGCTTACAATATAATCAATACAGCAATACAATACAGTAAAATCAGCAAGTGCAATCAAACTGTTACAGAACTCAGCCTGTCAACAGCTAGGGCAAACCCAGGTGGACCTCAGGCCCAAGCCAAAAGGAGCCAAAAGCAGTTTTATTTTACTGCACTATCGAATAAAGGGAGACAAAAGGGGACATTCAGCCCAAAGCAGTGTCTCAAAAGTTGCACCCCGGTACATGCGTTTTATACCCTAGGTAACAATTAGGTCACCTAATACACATCTAATGCATCGATACATCAACGTATGCACCCCCTCCCGTGCTGGAGAAAGAGTCCTTTCTTCTGTCAAGGACCAGACATTTCCCATGTCTATTTCTTATCTGCTCGAGATTCACACAGGCTTGCCATGTTCTTACTCCCTGCACATTTGCAACTTTCATGGCGGCTAAAACCAGCTTCCACTGTCCCTTTGATTACTGTATTTGAGGACAGGCTAGCGTGTTAGCTGTGGGTTACACAAAGATCATTTGTTCTTATCCGCCCTCCCTTCTGAGACAGTATAACTGTGGTGTTTTTACTATGTGGCCTTCCTCTGGCCAATTACTTTTGGGTTGTTTTGGGGTGCTGCAATTGGCAACAAAACCAATAATGACAATAAAATCAATAGTAACCAACCAAGATAAATATACAGTTAACAATAATTAAAGAAAATAAATTAAGATAGGATAAAAATAAATAGAATAAAATAGAATAAGAATAAGAAGGGGTACAACATTAAACTAGTTAAGCAACCAATAATACAATAAGTAATTATACATAATGTATGAAATTATAACATGGCAGCAACAATAACAATATGAAACCTTTAAAACCGACCATTAAAAGGTCACAAACCAACAGATTCTCCCACCAGAGTGCCTGCGAGACAGGAATGTCTTCAGTCGGCATCTAAAAGCATGGCAGTGCCAACCGAATCTCACACGGGGTAGAATTCCAGAATTGGGGAGCAAGAGCAGAGAAGGCCCTGCTCCTGGCCATCTCCACCCCCCTCACTTCACTTGCGGGAGGATCATCAGAGGAGGGTCTCAGAGGATGACCTCAGTGACTGGGTGTGTATGTCAGCACAACAGAAACAGCATGTCCCTTTAGCACTAAAACTAGTTGCAGGCGGAGTCACACCTGCTTTCTCACTGGCATCTTGGTGTCTTTCCGTTCTCCCATAGGCTGGAAGCCTTGCCTTCAAGAGAACCTGCGGCTTAAGCGGTGGAATTGACTCTCTTCGCCTGCCCCCTCCGAAGTCGGGGCACTGATCCAGCCAGCCCCAAAGTGCCTGCTGCTCTCCTGGGCGGGCCATTCAAGGGGGAGGAATTCAAGGGGGACTGTGGGAGGCCTTGACGAGGAGCAGCAGTGGAGCTGTGCAAGATGGCCGCCCTGGGCCCCCAGCTTGAGGTGCTGACTGGAGTGCAAGATGTGCAGCCCAATATTAAAACCGAAGAGCTAGACACCCTGGTGGTTGAACCCGAGGCAGGAGCAAAGGGATCGGACAAGGCTCCTCACGTCCTCCAGGCTGGAAGCATTCGGGAATTTCTGCACAGGGCCTCAGGAAAGCAGTTCACACAGATCCCCGGAGAGGGACTTCTCCAGCAGTGGGAAACCCAGTGGCAGGAGTTCCTGAGGACACTGGAGTCCCCCTGCTCAGGATGGGGGGCCCCGCCGGTGCCGGTGGAGCCTGCCCCGTGGGACGACGCCAAGGCCTTCCTGGCCTCCTTCGAGCAGGTGGCCGAGGCCTGCCGGTGGCCCAAGGAGGAGTGGGTGGCCCGGCTCCTGCCGGCTGTTAGTGGGGTCGCCAAGGAGGCCTTCAATAGCCTTGACAGCCAGGACAGAGAGGATTATGGGAAAGTGAAGGCGGCCATTTTGCGAGGGGACTCTTTCAACCGGGAGAAGAGGCGCCAGCAGTTCCGGCACTTCAGCTACCAGCAGGCCGAGGGGCCCAGGGGCGTTCACAGCCAGCTCCAGGAGCTTTGCCACCAGTGGCTGAAGGTCGAGCGGCACTCCAAGGAGCAGATCCTGGAAACGCTGATCCTGGAGCAGTTCCTGACCGTCCTGCCGGAGGAAATGCAGACCTGGGTGCGGGAGGGCGGCCCGGAGACCTGCGCCCAGGCGGTGGCCCTGGCCGAAGATTTCCTCCTGAGGCAGCCAGAGGCGGAGGAGATGGAGCAACAAGTGAGAGAGCCCTTAATCCTGACCGTCCTCGGGACGTGTGTGGTGAAATCTCCTGGCTCCAGCTGCCACTGAGAGCTTCAGCTTTTTCCAATCTGGCACCCTCCAGAGGTGCTGGACTACACCACCCATCATGCCCAGCCGATCCTGGCTTCTTGATGCTGGGGGTTGCAGCCGAATGCTGCTGGAAGTTGCCTGCAGGAGAGGGCCCATCAGTGGGGGTCGTGCTCAGAGACTGAGCAGGGGAGGAGGAAGAGGAAGGGGGGCGAAGCCCTTGAAGCGACTTCAAGTTTGCCTAGGGAAGTTTCCAAGGCCCAGCATGAGGATTGGCCTAGTTTGGAAGGGGAGAAGGTTTTCAGGAGGGGAGGGAAGCAGGCGTGAGGCCCAGTCCTTGGCCCTGCGGGTTGGCGTCAGGGGAAATGAGCCATCCACGTGCATTCCAGCTTGCTCTCCAGCAGCGAGAGCCCCCTTGGGCATGGGGCCAGAAGCTTTACTGAAAGGAAGGGACCAATTTGGAGTCAACTCTGTACATGAGCAGAGGCTTCTCTTTTTCCAGCACTGTAGAAGGCCATGCAGAGCTCACACTGTTCTGTTACCTGTGGGGGTCTCAATAAAAGAATCCCACTTTCAAAGGATTGCCTTGAGCTTTGGAACCGGGGAAAGGAGGGAGGGGACCAGCCCACACCAGCACCAGTTAGGGGAGGCAGCGTTGTGTTGTGCTTCTATTTCACATGCGGTCTTGTGCTTCCAGTTTTAGATGGTAAGTATTTTGGGGAAGGAGCCCGTCTGCTTGGGCTTTCCAAAGCATGACTCACATTAATGGCACAGCATTTATAATAACCACAGAGAGTGTCTGTCTGTTTGCCAGTTGCACAAAGGACCTTAACACTTAGACACTTGAAAGTTGGCATGGGAACTCCCTCGGGGCTATTTGGTTCTTAAAGTGCATTTAAAACTAATTTTAATGCATTTAAACATGTCTATGTGTTTTAAACCTGGAGATCCCTGAGGCTTTGCAATGTAAAGCTTTGCAGGTTTCATCCATGCTTCCCCTTTTTGGTCGCTGTCTCCAAAAAACGCAGGTGCCTGAGGAGGCAGACGTGAATCTGCGTGAGGCAGCGGAGGAGACCTGCCAGGTTCCAGAGCCCTCAGAAGCATCCGAAGAAGAAAGTTGGAAGATGTGTAGTACAAACGATGTCCGCGTCCTGCTGGGTAAAGAGAATATCCTGCTTTTAGCAGGTCTTCAATTCCCCTAATATGGAGGCACCCACCACCCAAGTGTTTCTGAAAAAAGCCTCTAACCAAGAGAACCCATCACCTTCTGAATCTGCAGCCTTGCCTAAGCAGCTCCGTTTCATAAGGAGCTCTTCTGAAGGTTTGGTTAAAATCGCCTTTCCTGTTGCTCAGACCTTCTGGAACAACAATGAACGCGCTTGCTCTGTTATTATCATTTTATTTATTCTCCTTTTTTTCTTACAACAAACGCAAAGGAGTTTGTTATTCTCCTGTTCACAATCTTATCCCCACAACAATAACCCTGAGTGTGACTCACCCAAAATTACCCACTTGGTCCCATGGCCAAGCAGGGACTAGAACCCAGATCACCTGAGTCCCACTCCCATGCTCTTAACTGCTACACCACACTGGCTGTATCCAATATGCGGTAGCCCTTGAAATATTAAATATGGCTTCTAGATGCCCTCTTAATCAACTTTTTGCCCAACTAAATATGCCCAGCTCCTATCCACAAAATCACAGAATTTTAGAGCTGGGAGAGATGTGGAAAGTCATCTAGTCCAGCCACTGGAAGCTAACGTGGACAAAAAAATAAAATGACAGCCCAATTCCTAGCAAAGGCAACCATAATTTTCAAATGTGAGAAATTGATCTTTAGAGGTCATCTAGTCCAACCCCTGTTAGATGTAGTTTGGATGTAACCAGAATTTTATATTGTTATTTCTTGTATTTTAATTTTATGTTGTGAGCCGCCCCGAGGCTTCGGCGAATGGGGCGGCATAGAAATGTTTTAATAAATAATAAATAGATAAATAATGTGTTAACATGGATAAGATGAAGTATTTTCTCTTGCTCTCCCCCTGCTCCCTTTCTGCCAGATTCAAGGCTAAACGATGCTGCGAGAGAGGATAAAAATAACAATAATCAAGATGTGGCTGCTTCACCCACAGAACCAAAGAGGGCATCACCGCCCAGAATGGAACAAGATGTCTCCCAGTGTTGCAAGCAAGGAGAAGCTTCTGGAACTCCTAACAGGCCAGAGAGAGAGGCGAAGAAGAGTCCAAAGAGAGCAGTCAGCAAGAAGCTGAATAAAACCCAGCCAGAGGTCCAGAAGGGTAAACAGGAGGCTAGGACCCCTCCGGGTGGGAAAAACTTCAAGCTGAAACCACCCCTTGTTTCTTCACCGAGCGTCCGGGCTGGAGGGCGACCCTATAAATGCAGTGATTGTGGAAAGAGCTTCTGCAGGCGCTCATACCTTTTTCAGCACCACCGGATCCACACCGGGGAGAAACCTTACAAATGTTCCTACTGTGAGAAGAGCTTCAGGGAGCATTCCCACCTCACCAAGCACGAACGGCTGCACACGGGTGAGAAGCCATACAAATGCGGGGACTGCGGCAAGAGTTTCCGCCAGTCTTCCAACCTGCGGAAGCACCTGAAGATGCACATTGGAGCCCCCATCTACAAATGCTCGGACTGCGGGAAAAACTTCAGCCAGCGCTCCAAGTTCTGCCAGCACCGTAAAGTCCACATGAGAGGGAAGAGCTACTCCTGCTCACGGTGCGGAGAGAGCTTTGACCAGGTCTCGCTTCTCTATGAGCATCAGCGGACTCATGTCCCGGAGCAGGCCTACAAGTGTCCCGTGTGCGAGAAGACCTTCGCTCACCGTTCGAGCTTCCTGAAGCACAAAATGACCCACACGGGGGAGAAGCCCTACAAATGCCCCACCTGCGGCAAGAGCTTCAGCCAGTCCTCTAACCTCCATAAGCATCAAAAAATCCACACGGGGGAGAAACCGTACAAGTGCCTGACCTGTGGGAAGTCCTTCACACAGAGCTCCCATCTCAGTCTCCATCAGAACACCCACAAGGGCTTCAAGTCGTACAAGTGCTTGGATTGTGGGGACAGCTTCACGGATCGGTCGCACCTGATGAAACACAAACTGAGCCATGCCGGAACAAAGGTGGCCACATCGGCCTGAGGTTCTGTGTACTCTCAGAAGGCTTTTTAAAAGGATTCGATCTTACGTCTTCCTTCTGCTGTGAACTCGTTCAGAAGCCCCGACCTCTCCCTTAGATTCCCCCATCTGCAATATATAGGATGCTAAGACTGACCTACCTCACAGGTAGGTTGTGAGAACTGCAGAAACAGAATGTCCGTGAGATGCCTCTGGCAAGGGTCTTTTGCACAAAGATTTAGACCATTCTGATCATTATAGGAAGAAAATGTGTCATAGGAATAAAAGGGGGTGGCGGTGGGGACAGATTGCCATATACCCTTCTGTTAAGATGCTTTTGATTGTTTTAATTGGATGAATTAGATAGGAATTTTAGATGAATGAATTTTTGATGAGTTTTTTTTTTGTTTTTCCAAGTCTTGTGCACCTTCGAGACTGATATATTTATTATGGCAGGAGCTCAAAGAATTATGAACCTTGCAAGTCTGTAAAGTAAACAGAGGAACCATCGCAAGGCAGTGCTGGTGGCAACATCCTGTGACTGCCGCACTAACGAGCGCCTGTTGTAGAAGGAAAACCATTGTGTTGATTCAGGCCACAGCAGATGAAAGTGAATTTCCAATCAATTGCAATGCTGGGGTTTTATGCTGGAGTCTCCCTTTGAAGCTTTTGTATTCCAAAATGTCCATTTGGAAGTCAGCAACAGTATTATTCTCGGAGGCTGAAATGTTCTTCCCCTTGAAATGTTGTAGGAAATAGTTTCCAAAGGACCCTTATGAGCAGAAAGAATGGGTGGCCATCCAAATCTGCTTCAGGGCCTAAATTTGCTGCTCAGATCGGTAACGAATAGGAAGCTCTTCTTCCAGGGGACAAAATGAGTCAATGGCTCAACACACGATCTCTAGGTGCTGTAAGGAAAAATTGCCATATTGCCAATGGTCCCCATACGACTTCAGGAATATGGCCTCCATCAACCAGGCCAGACCAACCTGCAAAGAGGAAAGGAGTTCTTCTTGCCAAGCTTTAACTTTTTGATTCCAAAAGCTCTGTCATGTTTATTATTCTAATCAGTTAATTTAAACCAGTGAATCAGTTCTAAAGCTATTTTAGGGCACATCATCATCTGGGAAGCCATAGGATTTTTTACAGCCCCAGCTCCAAATTCCAGTAACCTTATTGCTAGGATCCAAAGGACAAGATTCTGCCTCATCTCGGCTGGTGCAGAAGGACCAAGATGGCTGCCTTCCTGAGAATGCAACTGGGTTTGGAGAGGTGGATGAGGGACGTGAGTGACAAAGAAGGGAAGGGATTGGAACTGAGGATTTATGCCAAGTCCTGTCGGTATCCACCCTCCTTTCTCCCCAGCAATACATCTGGCCATCTAGAAAAAAAGACGTGAAGTGCAGGAGTGGCAAAAATCGACATCACGGCATTTCTTACTGGGTGTAGGATGCTTGTAGGCTTAGGTACCTCGGGGGGGGGGGGTGTGGAGGGAGGGAGGATCTTAATCAGTTTTTAAACATCTAGGAACCTCCTACAAGAGGAAGGGACATACTATGAGAGAGAGGGGGCTCCCACATCTGACTTTGTGGGGGGGGGGCTCTCCCCAGCTCCCCCTACACAGATACTCTTGACTCCCTGTAGCATTTGCAGGAGCTGCTGTGGGAAGTCTATTCCCTCCAGCACCGTTGATCCACGTGCAACTGGATCCCAGTCCCTTACAGATAAAAGCAGCCATTTTAGGGTGTATTTTAAATGGAAGACATATTTTTTCAAAGGAAAAGCACAGACAGAGAATGAGCTCCTCAAAGAAGACCCCTCTCCTCTCTGTTGTGACCTCATTGTCCTATGGCATTTTTCCTTTTTGTTGTTGCCTGTATTTCTGACATTATTTCAAAATAAAATGTTGTGTCCCTAAGAAAAGGACATCTTCCAAAAAGAAAGCTAAGTATGTGTTTGGCCTTTGTCTTGTATATGCATTCCTGAGAGCAGGCTCCCTTGAACGCAAGACAATTTAACCTGAGGAGGGATATAAAGGAATGCACCAAATTTTTTCTACAATCTGGTGATAGCGTTACTTTTTGGGGGCCTGGAAAATTATTTTAGTGGTATTGATATTTGATCTGAGTCTAATTTCATGCAGGCCTGGCTTAATGCAAGTTTGGCCTAACTTTAGCAAGCCGCGGCCTAATTTCCTGCAGGCCTCAACCTAATTTCGTACAAGCCTCTGTGTGGAGACTTTGAACTGATTTCAGGCAAGCGTCAGCCTGATTTCATGCAGGTCTTCCACTTGGGAACAAGAAGCCAGATGCACTGCTTGCAGGATGGACTCAACACTCGGCTCAACGATACTGCAAAGGAGAAGGATCTTGGGATTGTTGTGGAGCACAAACTGAATATGAGCCAACAGGGTGATGCAGCTGCTAAAAGGGCAAATGCAATTCTGGACTGCATTAACAGAAACATCTCTTCCGAAACATGTGAAACACTAGTTCCTGTCGACTCAGCCCTAGTCCGACCTCGCATGGAGTACTGTGACCAGTTCCGCGCACCTAAGTTCAAAAAAAGAGGCAGAAAAACTAGGAAGGTTTCAGAGGAAGGCAACAAGGATGATTGGACTGGAGGCAAAGCTCTCTGAGGAAAGACATTCAGCCTCGAGAAGAGCAGACTCCGGGGGAGATATGATAGCACTCTGCAAGTACACGAAAGAAGGTCACAGAGAGGATGGCAAGGATCTCTTCTCAGTCATCCCTGAGTTCAGGACATGGAATAACGGATTTAAGTGAAAAGAAACCATCAACTAGACAGCAGGAGGAAATTCCTCACTGTGAGGGCAGTACGATGGTGGAACCTGGAGACATTCGGAAGGGTTCTGGACAGTCATCTGAGTGGGATGCTGTGACTTGGTGTCCTGCAATAGCAGGGGTTGGACTCTGGACCCTTCCAACTCTTTATTCTGTGATTCTGTGAGGTTTTGACCCAATTCGTTTAGGCCTGATGTTATGCAAGCTTTGGCCTAATTTCACACAGACCCTTGGCAAGCCCTTGGCAAACCTGCTCTTGGCAACGACTGTCCAACTGATGCGACGTAGCCCAGGCACGCTGCTTTGAGTCCCTCGTGGGAGAGATTCCCCAGTTGGAGGAGGAACCCTTGCTCACTAAATGCCAAATAAGCGCCGTGTGCACCATGCACACATCGGCGGTGCGTTTGTGTGGGGCGCTTCAATACAGATCTTCTCCCCATGTGCACCTTTGCTCAATGCCTGCACCAGGAATCTTCCACTTGCGGGCTTTCCTTTGCAACGGGAGCTGGTGCCTGCACTTGGCCTCCTCTGGCAGCTGCCAAGGACTCAGTAGGATCCCCTGCAGGGACCAGGGCACTGTGGGAAATTTAGAATGGCAGGCAAGCTTACAAGTCCACATCACCCCCCTCCCCCGGATTCCAAACCATGTGTCTGGAATTCAAGCTGAAAAAGTGGGAGTTTGGTCAGGGGAAATCTGTGTGTTGTTCAGGATCCAGAGCAGCTTCTGGATTTGGGAGTCCATGAGATACAGTGATCAAGTGTGGTACTGAGGAGACATGGGTTCAAGTTTCCTCCTGGCTGTGAAGATCAATGTGGGTTTTGGTCCAGATACTTGACTCTCACCCTCACCTACCTCACAGGGTTGTTGTGAGGATAAAATGGAGAGCAGGCAGCTCAAGGTCAACTCAGGCGCCTTATGGAAGCCGATGGGATATAAATGCAGCCCATAAATAATAAGAATTATATTCTGCAATTCTGTCTATACCCTTGGAAGAAACAATGTGGAGGGACAATCAAAGGAACGATCTGGAGGAACAATCAAAACTGGGGGGCAGTTTCTTTTAAAAAATAAAAATAAAGCTCACTTGTCAGATTCACCCTCTTGTGGTGCATTCCATAACTGTATTTGGTAAATTTGCAGGTATACCTATGCAGTCTTTGATGTGTGGAGGTTTTTTTTTTTTGAACCGGCGTGTTCTCCCAGAGTCCAGTCAAAGTCAAGGATTGATGGAACTCCACAATGATCGCTTGATGAACAGACTGAATAGACAGGTCCACTGACCAGTTTTCCACTTGGTGGGCCAATGTACCATATTTCTATTTAAACCAGAATATCTATTTCTGCATTTCTATCAGCATATGCAAATCCTATGCACATCCGTGCCCTTTTTTTTTTTTTTTGGTGGCGCATGTTCTAAGATTTTTACCAATTCACAACTGTCCAGCTTAATTTTGAAGCACAGCCAGACCTGACAGCTGGTTGGCTGGTTTTAAGCACCTTTAAAATTTAAATTCAGTGCCAATCACAAAAATAAGTTCTGTTCCTGTTTCATTCTGCCCCTCCAAGAGTCAGCATTATGTACTGGAGAATGAACAGAGGGTTTTCCAGATGGGAAACATGCACATTATTGCCTAGGAAACTAAACTTTATTTATTTATTAGATTTCTTTTTGAAGAACTCAGAGCAGCTTACAATCTTTCTTTTCCTGCTGCTCTCAATCTTATCCCCACAACAACCCTGCTATGAGGTGTGAGGTAGGCTGGTTATCCAGTGGGCTCCATGGCCAAGCAAAGACTAGAACCCAGATCGCCCAAGTCCCAGACCTGTGCTGTTAACCAGCTTTCCCCTAAAACTACACCTCCTTCCCTCTTGAGTTTTCCTCCTGGGAAACTGCTTCTGGCCACTCCCTACCTTAGAGCAAGTCTTTCACAGACCCCTTCAATGCCGGCCTTTCTGGTTACCAGCTTTTGCCTTGGTGGAAGGAAGGAAAAGGACACAAAGCTGACAAGGAAATGTTTTATTTGCAGTATTAACAATGGTGTGTTTGGCTAGTGTTATAACATTTTTTCTCATCGAGTGTTGGCCAGATGGCATTTCCTGGAGCAACCTACCATGTCCTCCGGACTTTGGATCCTGCCAATGTACACATCCAAAGAACAAGAAATGCCAAGCAACAAAGGAAGCCTTTTGGCTTCAGGCATGGGAAAGGGGGGGCTCTCTGCATGCTGTGGGACTACAACTTTCATCATCCCTGACCTTTGTTATGCTGACTGGAGCTGATGGGAGCTGGAAGGCCAAGAAGCACTGGAGAGCACGGGGAAGTCAGTTCCCTGCTCCAAGCAGACTCCAATTGAAGATCAAAACAGATGCAATTAGCCAGCAATTAACCCCTGCTGGAATGGGTGTCACTCGTCAGGGTTTGGAAGTTATTTGTTGTTTTGAAATTGAAACATCTCAAATAAGTTGTAATATGCAAAATAAAGAATCACTTCCATTATTTGAAGTATGTGAAATCAATGAAAATCACAAATGGTGGCCAAATGCCCTCCTGGAGTTTTTTAAGTCCAAAAATTAATTCGTGATTTCAAGGAGACAGTACAGCAACTCATTCCACCCTCATGCCTGGGCCATGTCTATCGAGCCATTTTTGGTCTTCCCTCCTCCCTGCTGAGAGTTTTCAGTCTCTTGCCATCTGTCACTTTCTAGTCCCAAAGAGCTTAAGATGCTTCGAATCTCCCAAGAGAAGCTTGTTAATGAATTTTATTTTCTAATAATCTTGGCCATAACATAAATGTGCAGGCAAGAGCTGGGAAAACTGCTCAGGTACCTACTGGCCATTCTTCACTGGCTTAAGAGAGCTGCCAGCCATTGCTGAGGGGAGTCTGAACTAGTTCTGGGTTGCAAGGCAGCTGGATGGGCAACATCTCAATCAGCCTGAAAGAAGTATTATGGGGTGGGGCTGCCCAGGACCAGCTGCCTGGGATGGAAACATCCAAGATGTACAACAAGGATCCTTTAAGATCCTTTCCCAGTCAGTTCTCTGCAAAACAGGACAGCAGGTGTGATTATAGGAAACACCCCAAAAACCTACAGCAGACTAAGGCATCTTTCTAAGGGCAGAACTTCAGTACAGACCGTAATGCATGTATAAAGCAATATTAGTGCCATTATGATAACCTCCCAGACCAGAGTGGGCTTTCAGGCCATGTTGAGGAGGCTTGAATTCAGGAAGGAGGACTAAGTAACCTCGGCCAGCCAGTGTGAGAGAAGAAAGAAGGTGGGAAATCTTGCAGAGAGAATGTCAGACATTTTCCCCTTAAAGAGATTATGCAAAACAACCCTGCAAGGTGGACCACACTGCCCTGAGACATCTAGTAAATTACCTCTTCCATAGCACTTTGCAAACTCAGACAAAGAACTCGCCTCTTACACAGAGAAACAATAGTTAAGGCCAGCAAGAAGCAACTCCACCCCTCCTACCTTTCCTGCCCCCACGTAAGACTGCTGTTTAGAAAATATCCTGCAGGACAGGTAATGGACCCCCCCCCCATTCTTTCTCTAGGCAAGAATTTTTTATTTCTTTAGAAATATAGAGACAGATTGGGATGCCACAGGAATTTCTGCTGTCTCAACAACATCAGGTTAAAATCTTGTGTCTCCTCTACACTTTCTAAATAAAATTCCCTTTCCTTTCTAAGTTTTGTGTGTGCTTTGTAAATGCAAAACTAGGACTTATTTTCTCGGGCTAAACATACTAAAACACCAGCAAAAGACACCCCGCCACCTTGGGTTTGCTGACATCCATGCCTGAGAGCAAAATAAGTTTTCGGATGAAGCTTGAAACTGACAGCCCTAATCCAGCCCACCTGTGGTTCCAATCTTGCTCTCTGGGTTTCCCTTTAAACTAAAATATATAGGTATTTTTGGCTACACCTCTTTTAAAGTCAGCCACACCCACCACCAGCAAGCAGCCGCCAAGCATGTCTCCAAAGTGGAATACGACCCTCAGGTGGAAAGAGGTTCACCTCCCGCACATAGCTCCCCTCCCCTGTGTGGATTCTCTTATGTGCTCTCAGAACTTCCAGGCCTCCTCAATCCACTAGTCACAGTTTTTCTCCAGCATGGATTCTCTGATGTCTGGAAAGATGTGAACTTTGGATGAAGCTCTTCCCGCAGCTGGAACACCGATAGGGCTTGTCCCCCGTGTGCGTTCTCCTGTGCTTCAGGAACGTTGACTTGTCATTGAAACTCTTCCCACAGTCGGGACATTCGTAGGGCTTCTCCCCCGTGTGGATCCGGTGGTGCTGGCAGAGATGAGCATTCCTGCGGAAACTTTTCCCGCAGAGGGAACACTTGTAAGGTTTCTCACCGGTATGCAGCCGCCGGTGAGCCACAAGCCTTGAGTTCCACCTGAAGCTCTTCCCACAGTCAGCACAAATATTTTCCCCCTTTCCTGTGTGCAGTACAGACATTTCATGGGGTTTGCTTTGTACTGCCCCTCTCGGACAGCCTTCCCAAGTGTCAGCCTGCACCCTTGCCAGTGCGGGTTCGTTTGTTGATCTGTCTCCCACCTCCCAGCATGGGGAGAAATTCTGTTCTGCTTCTCCCAGTGTAATCCGATGAACTTCTCTCTCGGAAATTTCCCATCCAGGTGGGGGCCCTTTGTTCTCATTCGTCTCCCTGCAGACTGTGGGAATAAAGCGAGAATCAGTGTGATGCAGGAGGGGTCCCTGGATTATTATTATTACTACTATTATTAGAAAATTTCTATGCCGCCCCTTGCCAAAGCCTCAGGGCGGCTTACAACACAATAAAATACAATACAAAAATAACAATATAAAATTAAAATTAATAATATAAAATAAATAAAAAATATAAGCGTGAGTTGTTTACAGAACCCAGAAATGAGGGGCACGCCACTCCCTCCTGCCTGTGCCTGGCAAATCATGGATAACAAACCCACACAAGCCTGCCCAACAGCTACCCAACCAGGTGTTGGGGGCCCCTCTCCCAGCTCAAGGAATTCTGCTCTGGAGAAGCTCTTTGGGGGATGCATTCAAGTTACAAAGGATTAAAATAGGTGGGCCAAAAAGGTAAAGGGCTGGTACCCAAAATATTAACTCATTGCACCTTCAGGCTTTTACTTCCAGCAACTAGAGAGATCAGGAATACATAGGAAACCACAGGTGGGTCTAGAATTCACCCTCAGGTCTGAATTTTCTCCCTCCTGTCTAAACACTCGATTGTCAACACAACAGTTAAAAACGTCCTGCAGCATCACGGAAATCAAGTGCAGGGTAGCCTAGATGGGGTTCAACTCAGATTGATACCTGCTTCTCCACACTCTTGCTAGAAAAAGCCCATGACATGAGAACCCACAATCAATGGTGAATACGGGTTGAGCATTGGTTGTTGCTGAACTGTGAGCTGGTGCTGAAACATGGGGCATCATGTTGATGGAATCCAGCTGCCTGAACAAACCATGGCCTGTTAACCACAAACAACCTATGAAAAGAACCCATGGTTTGTGGCTGGGTTGTCAACTATGGGTTGTTCACCATGGTGTACTGTCTCGGTTGGGTTCAGACCACATCCTGAACTGAATCTCTAGCTAGGGTCAGTTGCAAGGCATGTGTTTGCACAGTTTCGCTTGTGCAACTCTTGTGTAACACTGACTGCAGCCCTTTCAGAAAGGCCTGCTCTGGTGGCCAGACGCTTTCCAGGCTCGATTTGAACCTGGCTGTCTTGCTATGAACCTTTCCAAGGAGTAAGGTGGGCAGGAGAGGCCATTACCTGCAAAGGCCTCTTGGTCAGGGATGTATCAGGTAAGGTAAGGGCATCCTCCTGTGTTAAGTCCCGACTATAAAGCCATTCAGGAACCACACATGGCCCTCCATTTTCTGGGACTTTGGAAAGGTTATAAAGAGAGTCATTTTTCCCATCTGGCCTTTCAAAATGCGCAGTTCTACCATTTTTGTTGTTTTCATGCTTTATTGTTCTCAGTTCTGTATACCATTTCGATGGCTGCTTAGCACACCAAGCTAGGCCTGACCCATGGTGATCATTCTGCAGCGAGGAAGAAAATCCGTGTTTGCTTCTTCTGAATCTCTTACCCAGGCCATTTCACTGGGCCAGCTTTTCTCAAGCTGTCATCCTTGGATGCACTGGACTCCAACTCCCATCATCCGCAACCTGGAGACACGCACCACTAGGCTGGTCTCTCTCCCGCTCTCCCTCTCTCACACACACACACGCACGCGCACAACACAAAACCTGGAGTCCACATTCTTTCTTCAAGGAGGCTGCAAACTAATATCATACAAGAGATGTCTGGAAAGGAAGGAAGGATTCAGAGAAAAGCTCAGGGTCCTACCCGGCAAACCGGCATCCTCAGCGCTCTCCATTTTGACCTCTCTCCAGGCCAGTCGGAGCTCCGTGGCTGCCTGGGTTGGCTCGCTGGTGGAGAAATCCGCCACTTGCTCCTCAGAGGGTCCTGTCGTCTGAAACTGCGGGGGAGATGCATTCAGGGCAATGTAGTCACTGGGGCATGGGAGCTGACAACCCCTGGAAGCCTGGGACCACAACTCCCATCAGCCCCGGCCTTGGCTGTGCATGCGGGAAGTTGTGGAGGGGACCCCTGACCTGAACTATTGAATGCCAAACAGGGGGCATTTTAGGATCCGGTTTGTGACACCAGCCTTGTAAATGAGCCCTGAAGTTTACTCATCTACCAAAGAACTCCCCGCCCCAATTACCAGCTGTGACCACAGAGGGGGTAAACTGGGATCAACTGGTAGATCTCCAAATGAGTTGCAGTAGGTTGGAAAGGCTTTCTGGCTCCCGGATCCATGACCCAAAGTCGGATTTCCCTTCAAATCGCTGGAATCAACAAAGTTTGGGGAGTCAGGGGCAGCTTCGTGTGGTCAACCCTTTCCCCACCTGCATTCCCCCCACCCTGTGTGGGACTACAATCCCCATCACCACCCAGCCAGCAGAAGTCACCTTCCAAAAACCGAGGGGCCTCCAGCTGTGTTAGGCTACAACTGCCATCCTCCCTGGTAAGCATGCTGGCCAGGGCGAATGGGAATTGTAGTCCTACACATCTGCAGCACACCTACCACCAGCACACTCTGCAAGCCTTCCAAAGCCATTCTTTTGCTTTTGGCTCATGTGTGGGCAAAATTCGAGGGTCTAATGAAAAGCCCCACCCAGTGCTAAGCACCGAGTTGATTTATCACTTATTGAGTTACAGAATTTTTATCCTGCTGCCAATCTAAGTACAGTGGTACCTTGGCTCACGAACTTAATCCGTTCCAGGACTCTGGACATGATACAAATTGGTCGTGAGCCAAGTCAAATTTCCCCATAAGACCTTTTTATGTAAACGTCATTTTAATTGTTAACAATATTTGCTTATTTATCTGGCCAGGGTGACTTCTTTTATATTTTATATTTATTTTATATTGTTAATTTTAACTTTATATTGTTATTTTTGTATTTTATTGTATTTTATTGTGTTGTAAGCCGCCCCGAGGCTTCGGCAAGGGGCGGCATAGAAATGTTCTAATAAATAAATAAAATAAATAAGGTTAATCCGTTCTGCAACTATCTTTTACTCACAAAAATTTGAAGCAAAGCGACAAAGAACAACAAAGATCGCAGCCATCTCTCCCCCCCCCAGCATGACCGCGATCGCACCCGTGTTCCCCGCACAAGCACGACCGCAATCACGGGTGCGCTTGGGGGGGGGGGGAGACGGGCATGATCGTGATCGTCACCCGATGCAGAGTTTGCGACCTGAGGCAAAATTTTTCAGAAATTTCTGTTCATGACCCAATTTGGTTGTGAACTGAGGCGTTCGTGAGCAGAGGTACCACTGTAGATTCCAAAGCGGTGAAGAATAAAAAGATAAAACCGTATGCATTGGAAACACAACAGCACTAGAACCTGCGGCTGCTTGGGAGGAAAGGCCTCTTGGAGAACTCTTTAGTGGGTGTCAAAGCAACATGGTGGTGGTTCTTGCCTGATCTATAAAGGCATGGAGAACCACAGGGAAGGGGCCACCACGCTGAAGGCTCTTCCCCTGCTGGACCTCAGCCAGGCCAGCAGTCTGTGTGGGACCACCAGGAATATGCCTTCCAATGACTTCAATGAGGGGCAAGCTGGTGAGGGAGAAAAGCCTCTTTCGAATACCCTGGGACCAGGGTCCGCACATTCCTTCCCGCTCCGTGCCAGGGCCTGTGTGCTGAAAGGGGGCAGCTCTCAACCACAGCTGAGCTGCAGGAGTTTTGCACATGCTCCTGCTTCAGGACCACGCACAGAGTTCCTCATCGCAACAATCCTGCCCTGAGGTCACTCAAGCAGCCTGTGTTTTTCTGTAGAAGAGGAAAGCCCTGAGTTCCAACAGTCAGCATGGAAATGACAGGGCTAGTGGTTTTTTAGACTCGATGAAATACAGATTAAAAGCAGAACCTGAATGCCAGATTAAAACATAAGATGAAAACAGATACAATTAAGAAATGAAAGAACAACAGACAGGGCTATAAATCAGAAGAGACAGTTTTCCAAGGTTGCCTTGAGCATAAATTCACTACACTGCCTAGGCAAGCTGCCCTCTCTCCATCTTTCATCAGCACAATGTTAATGCTACCAGCCTACCTTACAGGGATGTTGTACACAGAGTGAACTGAGAAGCACTTTAAACACTCGCACAAGTTGTACCTGCTGTTTCTGCTTCTCGTTCGCTTGTTGCTGCTGTAGGAAACTTTCAGCCAAGGCTACCGCGTGGGAACACGTCTCTGGTCCATTCCCCCGAACCCAGCTCTGCATTTCCTGTGGCAAAATGCTCAGGAACTGCTCCAGGATCAGTGTTTCCAGGATCTGCTCCTTGGAGTGCCGCTCGACTTTCAGCCACTGAGAGCAAAGCTCCTGCAAGCGACTGTACACACCTCGGGGCCCCTCGGCTTCCTGGTAACAGAAGTGCCGGAAGTGTTGCCGCTGCTTCTCCCGGCTCATGGCATCCCCTCGCAAGATGGCTGCCTTCACTTTCCCATAATCCTGTCTGTCTTGGGCAGCCAGGCCACTGAAGGCCTGCTCTGCTTCTCCTCTGAGGGCTGGCCGCAGTCGGGCCGCCCACTCCTCCTTGGGCCACCGGCAGGCCTCTGCCACTTGCTCAAAAGAGGCCAGGAAGGCCTTGACGTCGTCCCACGGCATGGGCTCCTCCAGCAACTCTGGGACCCTCAGTTCTGAGTGAGGGGACCCCGCCGTCTTCAGGAGCTCCTGCCACTGGGCTTCCCAGCACTGGGACAGCTGCTCTTCAGGTTCTTGTTTCACCTGCTGCGGCCCTTCCCATCTTGGGAATCTCACCGTGCAGCCACTGTCCAGACGGCAACCCTCCTTCCTTGGCTCCAGTCCCACTCCAGTTTGGCAGCCCATCTTGAG